GGTATTTAGATAGAAACAAAATCATAATTTTGAAAATAATTTTACAATATACGAAATAAATATATAAAGGAGTTTGTCTTAATTTATAAAAAAAGTACTTTTGAGAAGTATTTTTATAGCTTTCCAAACACCTCCTTATTCTTTATCGATATCATCTTTGCTCAGGGAAGGCATGAAATAATTAAGAGATGATTATAGAGACATAATAGATGTTTTACATTTTGATTATCATGTGATGAAATTCTTTTCCCCCCAGTGCTAGTCAAATGGGGCCATAAGTCTCAAGCTTCCAGAGGTATCTAAGGTTCCAAGAGAAGCATTTGTGTGTTATAAGTCATACAAAATCTAGCAAGAAATAAATAAGAAGTGGCAGTTATAAATTATTGCCGCGGAATTAAGTAATATCATTTGAGCTCTCCCAAACATTGTACTCACATACAGTGTGGTAAGCATTCTCTTAGAAAACGCAACTCATGATATTAGAAAACTCATAATCTCCAAATTGAAACTCAGGTTGAATACATCGTAAAGCTTATAAATTTCCAAGGGGGTGTTTGGCAATATGAAAACCATGGTTTCAGAAGCACTTTTCCGCAAAATGAGGCAAACTCCTCCACATATTTACTTCGTAAACCGTAAAAACACTTCTGAAACCATAGTTTGGTTTCTATCCAAACACCCCTTTAGGCAAGAAATGTATATATTACTTTCAGTTTTTAATATAAAAGCTAGATAACTTATTTAAAATATTAATAAAATTGATTAAATTGGTTATTTGTCACAAATATGTATTCATTTTCTTGAAGTATATTTTTCAATCATGTGCATTAAAGGACTAAATTTATTCCCTTGTAAAAAAACTCTTGCAATTAATATGGATATTTTGGGAAGAAATAAGAGACAAATGGATTGAGATCTCCAATTATCTCTTATATTAAGAATTAGAAGTAGTAGCATTGAAGGACATGTTTTGAGTGATTCATCTTCATATTTTAAGAAGTTGATTGGGTTAAATTGGCATTATCTTTTAGGGCTGCACATGGGCTGGGTTGGAGAGGGCAAACCCCCTACCTGATGCTCAACCTAAAAGATGAGCGGGCTGCATTTGGTAGCTCACTGTCCGGCCCTGCCAATAGAAGCCTAAATCATCTTGGGTTGGGCATGACGGGCTTTCCTACCCAACTTAGTGACACCTTGCCCATATCATATGTAAAAAAAAAAAATTCAATTATCATGCTTTGAGACAAGATGAGAAGGAAAAAGCTTATTACAGAAGACTCAATCACTCATATATGCAAGGCTTATGTAGTCTTGTTCTTTAGCCTTTGATTTCTTATGAGAGGTAAAAAAAATATATTTAATAATTAAAACATTTAATAACTGATCTCATTCTGTAATTCAATTCTTTAGTTCATTCATGTAGTTGGAGCATTTTTATAGTCATGCAAAAGCCCAAGATTTGAAAGGTGGTTTTATTTTATTTTTTTAAAAAAAAATTGGAGGTAAGAGGAAAAGAAGGAAATTTGACTAGGAACAATTTAGCATATTTAATCTTATATTTTGATATTTGGTTCTTTTATATAATTATAATTTTTATGTTCCTTTCTCTAATGTTACCTAATTTTTTTTAGTAAAAAAAAAGGAGATAATTGCTAAAAATAATATTATAATATATATAATTATATATTTTTTGGACAGGGCCAAATGGGTAAGGTAGCACACCCTGCCCATGCCTCGGCCCTGCCCCTGAATCAGCACTGTCCAAAAATGCCCACTTTTGTTAGGGTAGCTTTTTCTTGGGTTGGGTTGGGCCTTTTTTTTAGGGCTCATACAGGCATATTGGGCATGCAAGCTGTAAAGCCCTTAACCTTCAAAACTTTATAATCTGGTTATAACACCACTACTATGATAGAAAAGGAGCGTTGATAAAATGAACTACCATAGTAGAAAGAAATTTGCATAATTTTAGAAATTGAAATTGGCTTTCAACTCAAGTCAAACCCAAACTCAGTTGCATGCAACTAACATCAAACATCAACAACCATTGGGCCTCCGAGCATCCGGCCCGGGTAACAACATTCATCAAAATCAGCCCATATAAATGGTTTCCAACAACGTAAATCAAAGTTCCACAAACAATAGAAAGGGCCTCCGGCCAATTAAAAGTGAGAAGATACACTTCCTCCGGTTTACAATAAAGTTGGGCAATCAAAATATTTCAAAAGACCCTACTGTGGCAATATACAACTGGTCATACATAAACAAAGGCTAGAGGCCTAAAGCTAACCAAGCTCAAACCTCTGCGTCTCTTCCCGAAGGCGCACGCCTAGCACCTTCACCTGAAAACATTGTAAACCACGGGGTGAGACAAAGTCCCAGTAACCAACCATTCCAATTCAAAGTACTACTAAATAAGTGCTCGTGAGGTGTCAAGTGGGGCAGTTCACAAGTGATATATATATATATTGATAGCCACTACAAGTCATGCAAGTACGATGATGCAATTTCCATCAACCATATCCCTCACTTTGGGGGATTTTCAGAAGCCGAACCCGGCCTATCCCTCACTATGGGGGACGTATTGAGCCAACCATCATGCATTAATGGAGGCCTTACCACGTGGTAGTAACTATCAAAAACTCTCACCAATTCTCAATTCATGCATCATGCTCAAACCATAATCAAATAGTAATTGAACATTTCATAAGTAACTTCATTCAGTGGCATATCCTTCACAATTTCAAGATTTCATTCATTATCAATCGAAACCCCACAAGATGGTTTTCCTTTTTCTACACAACATACACTTTGAACATAATTACTACTTGGAGCACAAAACATAAATCTACTCACAATACCACAGAAGCAAGTACTAAGGATTGGAAAGTGGTTACCTCTCGCCTGAGCAAGGAATAACAACCAACAATGTGGCCCCGTGCACCAACAAGACTCACAATCGGTCTACACAAGCACACAAACACACAACCATCATATATTAGCTTTCAAACTAATAACGTGGCCAAAACAACACTTGGGGACACAAAATTCCTATCTCCCATCAAAACTCTACCCAACTCAAAGGGTATAACTATCAAGGCAACACTCCATGGTCATACCAATCCATTAAAACCTTAATTCCTTTCCAAACATCAATTAAAATTCATAACCTCAAGGACCCACTATAGGAATTCAACACCCAAACATCCCATTTGAACAATTGAGGTTCTAACAACAATCTAAACCGATTAAACATCCAATTTAACCCTCCTTAACATAACTCAAATCACAAAACTCAGAATCAACCTCTACATTGTCAACCTCAATCACAAACCTCCCATTTCCATAAACCCTAGCTTCAAAAACTCAAGATCCTTTAAATCCAAGAAAACTACACCGATTAAAAACTTAAACTAATCCAAAGCAATCAATTAAACTCAAAACAATCGGTCAAAAACCTCAATTCCATCACAACTTAGAAAATCCTAGGGTTCCACCAAAAATCCTCATAAATTCCAAGAAAGAAAGTAGATTAGAGGTTAAAATCACTTACTTGAGGTAATGGATCCTTAGAAATGTCTTTCCCAAGCCTCAACACTGAAACCCTAGCAGAGCTCCTCTCTCCTCCTTCAGATTTTCTAATTTTCGCACAACTGAACCCTCCAGCGTCTATATAGATTCGCGACCTTTCGCCGCGGCGAACTAATCCCGAGAGGGATTACTCGCCTGAAAACCTGACTTCGCCGCGGCGAAAGCTTCCCGAGAGGAAACTCTCGCTCGCCTAGAAAAACTTCGCCGCGGCGAAACATTCCCGAAAGGATACTCTCTCCTGGAACTCCCGGTGCTCTGCGGCGAAGTAAAACTTCGCCGCGGCGAACATACCCTGAGAGGGATATGTTCACCTATTCCTCAAACATACCTCAAATCCAACCCAAACACCAAGATCAAGATTAAATTGCTAATCTATCCTCAAAATCAACCAAAAGAGGCTATTAAAACCCGATAAAACTCAGGATGTTACACAAGCCTCATGCAAACCCCTACTACCTTTAAACTTTAACTTAGATTATCACTTTATGTATTTTATAAACTAATATATAATTTAATGTTACACATACGTATATTAAAGAGATTATGTCACACATGTTATAATTAACTAATTTATTTAATTTTCCTTAATTTAGCTAAACTAGTTAAGTAGCTTTTGAGTGATCCATCTTTGTATTTTAAGAAGCTGATTGGGTTAAATTAGCACTGCCTCTCAACTTTAACTTAGATTAGCACTTTACGTAATTTATAAACTAATAATGTTGTACATATATATTTTAAAGAGATTATGTCACACATGTTATAATTAACTAATTTATTTGATTTTCCTTAATTTTTTTGACCAGCTTTGATTTTCCTTAATTTACCTAAACTAGTTGTAGTTGAGTAGCTTTTGTATTAACTATAGCATCAGATGAAGTATTATTTGTTTGTTTTTCACTGTATGGTTCTCGACATTCCGATTTAGGAAAAAAGAAACTTATAATCAAGAGGCGTATCGTGTGACGGTTTCAGAGAAAGAGTACTACCCTTGCTGATAATGGGAGATTAACTGTAAAGCCTTACTGGTCCTCATCAAGCACACAGATTGATTGATCCACAACAAAATACTGTGGAGTTTGTTTTTCGTGTCGTTTTCATACAATGAATTAATTTATTTCTTTTAAGTTCTGATTTTTGAATAAAAAATTAAGTTCATAAAGTAGCCAAGGATGTTAGCGGTAAAGATTGTAAACACTTCACATAAAGATTTTCAAATTTAAACATATGCTTTATCATGCACAGAAGAATTCATCTAGCTGACGCGTTCATGATTCAGATTATACTTTCAGGGAATCCAAGATTATATTTTGTTTTGGCCAACAAGAATAGTTTCTTTTTTTTTTTTTTGACCGGAGAACAAGAGTAGTTTCATAATATATACATATAGCCATATGCATATATAGTCATACAAATTAGGTAAAAAATACGCCAATATTATCATAGAATGGATCCATACATCTGCACGGGGATCAAAATGATCTGTAACCGTATTGCTCTTCGCAGATTTTGTATTTCACATTAGTATTGATGGTTATCTTCTTTGTTTCATAAAATAGGGATAATAATTACTAAAAGGAGGACTAAGACCGGAGCAAGATCCATCATTGTCATAAGTAGCGGATACCTTGCATTTTAAGCGCACAGCCAAACCAAAGGGACCTAATTGAATGGATGCCACGCTGGACATCGTTTGATTGGACATGCCTAAGCTGAATCACATCAGAGCACCCGCCACAGGAAAACGTAATGATTTGAGACAGGACATGCAATAATTTAGTACAAGTTTGGACGAAATCAACTCGGTTTCCCCGAACTCTGTGATGACTGTTGAGGCCGCGAAGCCACGATCTGCATCATCGCTCAGGAACAAGCACATGTACAAACCAAACGTCCTGCCCCAACTTTATAAATATCTCCAGCCACGTGCAGTGTAGTCAGTCTCAGAACGCGATGAGAGGGAACTCGGAGACACTGAAAAGCGGAGCATACATCTCAGTTCACAACATTGGTTGACCTCCAATTTACAAATGGGACACCAGACACAACTCGCCGAGAATATTCCTCATACTGTGCTCCAAAAAACTGTCTCAGAAAGAACTCTTCATATGCTATTCTCTTAGCAAAGAAGCGCCAAACAACAGCTGCAAATGCGATAGTTGATAAGGGATTGCAGAGCATTATTTGTGTGCCCACAGACCATATGAGGAAACCGCAGTACCCTGGATGACGTATAAACTTGTATATCCCATGCGTAATCAATTGGTGACGCTCATCATAATGAACTCTTATAACATGCGTAAAGGCCCGCCCAGCTGTTATAATCGCCATCTTCCGTATAATTTCCCCAATCACAACCATGGCGAGTCCCAAATTACTGATCGCCCAATATTCCTTTAGCTCGGGAAATAAAGTAACCTCAATAACGTATTCCACCAATGAAAATAACATTGCCAGAAGATAGCTTTTGCTAATCAAAAGAGAATTAAGAGATACGTTCGATCTCCCATGAATAGAAAGGGCTAAGAGATATTCAGAACCGTGAAAGAAGATGATTGCAATGGCCATCTGAGATAACTGTCTGCAAGCTGTGGGACTATAGATTTCCGTCATTTTTGGTCCAATAAAGTGAACCAGCCTCTCCAGGGCAGCAACGTGATCAGCTCTCAAGTAATCCACGGTAAGTCAGAAGGTCTTGTATGACAATGCTTTCCGATTAGGAGACCTGAAAAGGACGGTGAGAACTGTGAAACTAGCATGGGAAGATGTGTTTTGTCACCGAGAAAATTTTTCAAGAGGGTCATCTCTTAAAATATGAACAGGGACAGATCAAAATGCACAAGCCTAGGACACTAAATATAACTCCAGAGTAATTCGATATAGCACAATAATAAAATTAGCCATAAGCATAACACTTCCAAGCCAGACAATATATCTTCCAACATTCACGATGTTATAGTTGCTTTCTTGAGTGCTCTAGGCTTCTAATCAATTCCCTTTAACTGTTTAAGTTCTCCGGTAATACTTTCACACATGATGTGGTCTAGTATTTGAACCATCACTAAGGCTTATTACAAGTTTTGTTTTGATACAACAAAAGAAAATAACCAAAATCTCGTTGATGTGGGTGCACCTAACACTTCAGACATGATAGCAAAGGCTAACTGAAGTCTGCAAATTCAATTTGTAAGCTGCAATTACTTATAAGGTCACAACAAATTTAGGAAAGTAGCTAATAAAAATTATAGACAGACGCATAGCAGAAATAACCATATATCTCACCCTATAATAGAAAACGATCAGATGTAATTATTAGAAATATCTCCATCACGAGGACCGAGAAATGTCAAATATTCCCCCTCTCCGGGGGGGCAGTAATACTATTATCTTTACATATCAGATATTCATACCATATGAAGAAACATAAAAACATAGATGCATTTTCTGTTATAGCCACCTAATTTATTTATCTTTTTCCTAGAACCTGATAACAACAATGCCAAATACTAGATATGCAAGAAACGCAGATCAGAAACGGCAGAAAATTTACTTTAAAAGATTCAGTCTCTACTCTCTAGACATATTTAGTTACCACACTGAGACTATCCAGTAAACAAATAGAAAGGACTTCATTTGCACTAGTCGTACACCATCTCGACCTCTCCCAGAGAAAGGTAAATGCAATGGAGCCCTGGTTCGACGTGTTACAGGGTCACGGTAGCAGTGGCACGAGCCGGGGTGAGGGCAGAACAAAAAATCAAGAGAAGCCATGAAAACATTTGAAATGAAGCAATAAAATCAACTTCATCAGCAGCTACAAATGCATTAAACACGAGAATATTACATATCAGAGACGCACCAGAAGGAAATGAAAACCGGGAACAGTCCGAGAACGCCGCCGCTGACACCGAAAGCGGAATCAGCAGAGGAAGATGGGAGTTTCACAGCGGCAGGGAGGAAGGAAGCGACCAGCGACGAGAATGGATGAACTGGCGCGAACTGCTCTGATCGGAAATGGATCCAGACGAGTTCAGGGGCGAGGAAAATTCATTCAAAAATCGGGGGGAATATATAAAAACAAAATAATTTTCTTTACAGTCTTAGGGATCCGGATCGATGCCCCCATGATGTGCCGTGCCTGCGCTCGAATGAAGTTGTTTTCCCCTTTCCTTTCCCCGCTGAGTTTTTCCCCTACGTTTCCTTTCCATTATTTTTATTTTGTTTTTCAGTTCTGAATTTGCTCCGTTTTGTTAACGAACCTTGGCCGAATTAAATACTACTATCACAAGTACTTAGATTTTCATTTTGTATATCTGCTTCCGATCAGTGAATAATAAAATCTAAGATATTTAGTCGATGATAGATTATTTGTGTTAATAATGTTAGCAATGTAAAAAAAAACAAAAAAGTTATTTAAAAAAAAAGCCAAAACTTCAAAAGTATCAGTTGAAAATAATATGCATAATTTTTGGGCAAAGGAAATTAGTTTTTTCTGCTATAAATATCTGTTCGTTTTCGAGTTTTAAAAACAAATGATTTGGAACTTCTGAATACTTATATTCCCTATAAATATAATTATTTAAGATTTGTTTGGATTGACTTATAAGTAGTTTTTTAAACTTGATTTAATGAAATAAATATGTGAAGAGAATATTGTCTCGACTTAGATAAATTTGTTTAAAAGTCCGTTTTGAACGGAACTCTAAACAAGTCCTTATAATATAGCTTTGTTTTATATTCATGTGTTGTATAAAGTTTGAAGTGAGTTAAAATATTATTTATAATTTATTGATAATCTTTATATAAAATTCGGTGGGCTTTATCTGTTAAGTTAAGCTGTTCACCCTCAGGAGCGTAAAATACGAGTGCTATTTGTCAAGAAAAGGTTCTAACTGTAGCTTAATCCGCAGCATATAAATAAGATCCAGTTCTTGGTTTACTTGGGCTTCATACCAGAGCCCACTTTTGGGTTGTGGGTTATTAGCCAAGCTGTCCGCTTTCACCCAAATCAAAAATCCCTCCACGAGGGCCTTTCTTGTGGGCCTGCGAGATCTGAGAATCCAGGGAAAAGTGCAATATTTCGCTGGAAACGACGCCGTAACATTAGCGCACGGGGGCCTTATTTCAAGAACCAAGCTCGCGGGAGAGTGCCGCAGTTCTCCACTTCTACCTTCTTCCGCCGGCTCCATCCTCCTCTAAAGCCTGCCCGCCTAACCACCGTATTGTTGTTTGTCGACCTCGTACCTAGCCACCACTGTCCTGAGCTTCTGCGTGGTGCTCTGTGCTGCTTGAAACCTGAGTTCACTGTACTTATGTTCCCTCCATAAGAAACGGGAACTGGACTGTCCACCTACAAGCTCTCGATAACGAATGATAACTTCTCTGTCCTGCTCAGCTTCTAAGCCTTTTGGGAATTGCTTTTCTGGGTACTGCGTTTAAGTTACAATTACTCTGAGTTACTTGCAATTTCTCTATACTCATGGCTGCATGGTTCTCGAGAAAACTATTGAAAGATGTTGTGCTTAAAAGGATAGTTTCACGTCCTCTCCATGGCTCCAGATGTTACTCTTCTGTAGCAGAAAATGTTTCTAAGATTACTCACTCTTCGAAGAAAGTAAGCTTTTTAACCTCTTCGCAAAATCTATTCAAGTTCGCAACTTTTGCATATTGATGATGTTATTTTCCTTTTTGGCTGGAGGAAGTCTTATTCATCTCGACATGCATATGTGGACATGTAGTCATCGTAGCGGTTACGTTCGTGTGTTATTGTACCTATGTTTGATAAATATCTTTTGTGAAAATTCCTGGAAGCCAATGTCAGAAAGTGGACTTCTCCCGTCGCTTATTCCTTGCTATCCTTAGATCTTGGCACGCGTTAGCGGGATCATATGCTAAATTTGCATTTTTCATCTTTTTATAATCTAGGTTTTTATGCTGAGATATATCCTTCAAATGAGTTTGGTAGTTTTCATGGACGTGTAAAGTTTAGTTGCTCTGGATTTGTTTTCTATCAGTAATTAATTGTCCATTCTTTCCTTGTATGAGCATTTCTTTTTTTCTGGGGAAGTCTGTCTAAGCAATGGATATATCATAATATTGTTCATTTTACAGATTTGTGCCTCGTTTTTTCTTTGATCAGGGAAGTTGACAATCCTCCGTGATTTCATCTATATTTTTATTTTCTCTCTGCGTGTTGATGACATTTCTCTGATTCTGAAGTATTCGCTTTGATCACTTCAAATTGTAGGGAAGATTATTGACAGGAGCAACCCTAGGCCTTGTTATAGCCAGTGGAGCTTATGTGAGTACTGTGGATGAAGCTACTTTCTGGTACTTCATTTGGGAGTTTGAGTGAAACTTTTCATTTTCTTTTGCTTCTCTAATTATGCTTTCAATATGGTAGATTTCCTTTTCCTTTGGAAGAAAGAAATTATTTGGCTAAATACTTATATTTTTATCAGTTGTCAATATATTCTAAACCTCTACTTTTATGGCATCCAACAAGTTATTTACTTTGCAAGAGAAAAGTGGTTGATGATGGGAAAAAAGGGAATCCTTTCCTTTCCTTTTTTCCGCAATCTTGGCGGAACACAAATTTTTGATGGTCAACATATTGGGATATTTACTTAAATCATGTACTCCTCTGATCTTTAATATAAGACCCATTTAACTAATTTGATTAGATTAAGAAAGTTAGGCAAGTTAGTTAATTATAAGAAATGTAACATGTTTTTTCTAAAATACCATAATCATCTTTCTTAATACCCCTTCTTCCTCTTCTATTTGATTATGGTTGAGGGAGTATCCATAGGGGTAATTTAGAAAAAATTGATAAATATGAGAAATGAGTCTTATATTTAGGACCAAAACCAACTCAACAATTGAGTCCTATATTAAGGACCGAAGGAGTATATTATTTCCTGTATCTGTGCTTAAATGTCTTCCCCATGTTAAGAGGAACTGTGTTTGGTGGAAATGTTGAGTAGATAGGGTTAGCAAGATTATAAAAAATAAACAAGAAATTGCTCTTGTATAGAATATATTCTTACTTCTGACATGGGGAGAAATAGATAGATAGAAGTACAAGTTGCCTTCCATGGGGCTTTGCTTTTTCTGATAATAGAATACTTAAGTGTGTGATCTTAGTTTCTTGTCATCTTCTTGGCAGTGGATGGTTGTTCTCTGCAACAAAACTTGTGAATCCTTTTTTCGCACTATTAGACCCAGAGGTTGCACACAGGCTTGCTGTCTCAGCTGCAGCTCGTGGTTGGGTTCCTAGGGAGAAGAGGCCGGATCCATCAATCTTAGGGCTGGAAGTTTGGGGAAGAAAGTTCTCTAACCCAGTAGGTCTTGCTGCTGGCTTTGATAAAAATGCTGAGGCTGTTGAAGGTTTACTTGGCTTGGGTTTTGGCTTTGTAGAAGTTGGCTCTGTTACACCTGTTCCCCAAGATGGCAACCCAAAGCCTCGCATCTTCAGGTTGCGCACAGAAGGGTATGGCCTTGCATATTGTTTTGTACTTCATTTGCTGCTTTTAAGGCCCTGCACCTGTCATATCATGTCAACTTTTATGGTCACTTTTTGAAAGAAAGTTTTTTGGAATGAGCTTTGCTTCAAATAGCCTAGACTTCTTGAAGGTTGTTCATGTTATTTAACTTGCTGCTTGATCAATTTATTTAATATGCAGTGCTATCATAAATAGATGTGGCTTTAATAGTGAGGGAATTGTTGCTGTTGCAAAGCGGCTGGGCGCACAGCATGGTAAGAGGAAGTTGGATGAAACTTCAAGTGCTTCAAATTCTTCCAGTGATGAAGTCAAACATGGTGGAAAAGCTGGCCCGGGCATTCTTGGTGTCAATCTTGGAAAAAACAAAACAAGTGAAGATGCTGGAGCAGATTATGTTCAAGGTGTTCATACACTCTCCCAGTATGCTGATTATTTGGTGAGTGTCTTTTTTCTTACATGCCTTCTACAAACAAATGAAGCTTGTTTTCCATTACTCTTCTTTCATGATTGGTTTTAATTGATTACAAAAAATTTGCACCATTCCATCTCTATCATGTATACTAGTTGTCTTCCTTTGTCAAGATAGATGGGGGCAGTCAGTGTAGCTAGTTCATAATTATCTAAGAGGAGTCTTGGAGTTGTTATTATCTTATAGCTATCTCCTCCAGCTATCTTCAGGAGTTTGTCCTGTGGTTTATGTTTGATTTCATAGTACTATAAATAAATAAAAAAAAAAAGGAAGCTACTTGATGATGTGTTGGGTCTTGCAAGTATTCCATTTATTGTAGTTCTATTTTACGCTAATACTTTTGCAAAAACGAAAAAATATAAATGGTTGGTAGATGCTGAGCTAAACTCTACAGTTGGTTGGTGAACAGTCCAAGCTGATAAAAAAAAAGCAAATGAAGCTCATATTTGAGTCCAAATTCAAGTTGTGCTTTGAGAAAGATAACATGATAAGCCAAACCTACATTGAATCTTCGATTCACTTTTTTAAATTTTGGGTGCAAATTGTTAAGGTAGACGTTCATTCTAAACAAGGCTATGATGTCAAGTTTATATGGTTTAGATATGTCAAATCTAGAAATTTCAATACCCTGATTTGGATAAGTGAAAAGAAATTCGTTTAGGAGAATCTGAATTATTGGGAGGAAATCTTGGTAGATGTAGTAACATACCTTTATATGGCAATTGTGGTGCACGATGACCGATCTGGGGATCACAAATATTTGATTTTAGGATCTTTTGTGCAACTTACTGTGGACTGTTAAGAGGAGTGCATTTTATCTGCTTTCCAAAGGAAAAAAGAAGTTTGTTTAATTATGCATGATGCGGTCCCTTTTAGGTGATTAATGTTTCATCACCCAATACCCCTGGCTTGCGCATGCTTCAAGGAAGGAAGCAATTAAAGGATCTTGTGAAGAAGGTAGAATTAATGATGTGAAGCTTTCTCCATAGTTGTTTTCCTATTGCATTATTGAGATTGGCTCTTGCCAAATTTGCTTCCTCTTGAAGGTTCAAGCTGCTCGTGATGAAATGCAATGGGGTGAGGAGGGTCCACCTCCATTGCTTGTTAAGATTGCCCCAGACTTGTCAAAAGAAGACCTAGAAGATATTGCAGCGGTGAGCATGTGCATGCTAATAAATTTTCTTCTTATCTCAATCATCTCAGATGGTGTATGACATTTTATGCTCTGATCATAGGTTGCGTTGGCTCTTCGCCTGGATGGACTGGTATTTTTCTTCCTTTTGACTAGTTTCAGCTCACTGCTTGTTTTGCATCTGCTTTTGCTGTCTCTTTCTCAGCTTTTCCAAAGGTATAATAGCTCACAGTTGCTTCAAGGGGTACTGGAGCCTGCACACAACATAATATTAAAGCACATTGTGCGTTGATTAAATGATTCTTCAAATAAAAGAATCAGTGGTTTGAAGAAGGAAGAAAAATACATGAGATGAGTACCAAAGTATCCTTCTAAGATAAAGTACTAGAAACCAAATAGAAACAGGGAAGAATGAAAAAAACTTAAACAAGCTACTAAGCTGTCAATCCCTCCGCATATCTTCTAAAGGGGTTCCCTTGAAAAGAACCATAAGCTGAACATCTAAGAAGGGTGCAAAAGTTATTCTCTCATAAGGCTTCTAATATAAAACAATATCGCCACAGGAGATATCAGGATAACTGATTTTGGACTAAACCACCGGGAGTAAACATCATCGAATAAAACAGAGTACTTCTAGTGTTTCCCTTTAACAAATACTGGGGTGGTGGCAGAAAGTGTCAGTTGCCGGATTTATACTAAGAGGAGGAGAAAGTGTCAGCTGCCTCAGTGCGTTCTGAATTTAGTTGCATGAGTGAAGAGCTGGATTCTTACGAGTGGACCATTTCTCATTGAGGATGCTTGAATACACTTTCCCTGTATTATTCGTCTTTAGTACATAATTGTTTTCCTCTGTATACCTTCTGTGTATGTGGATGTTGTTATCCCTTCTCTACCCACAGTTAGTTGATAAAATAAGCTGCGAAAGTTTAAAAAAAAGAAAAAACTGTATTTCTCATATTACTTGTACTGCCTGAGTGTTTGATAAGTTCCTTATCCCATTCCCACCTTTTCATTTTGCTTAGCAACTCATTTATGCAATAGAGGTCAAAGTACTTTGTGAGTCTCTCTTCATTTGCTCACAACGCATTAATTTATCTAGATTATATCAAATACAACCGTTTCAAGGCCAGAAGCTGTCAGTGGAAATCCGGTGGCTGCAGAAACTGGTGGTTTGAGTGGGAAGCCTCTCTTTGATCTCTCTACCAATATCTTGAAGGAGATGTATATCTTGACAAGGGTATGCTCATTTTTCTTGTAGTGGAGATTTGCTTAAAACAGTGTTGAATTACAAATGCTTTTCCTGCGCGGAATCCTTTTTCTGTTTAAGGGCTTCTCTGACTACAACTTAGGATTGTAGAAGCAAACATTAGCATTCGAGATCACTTATTTACTCACCTTTAAACACTGAATAACAGGGGGCATTGTAGAAGATACCCATAACCTGAAATTTGTTCCTTGAAGTGTAGTTCATTGCTGTGGGTCAATCTTCAATATGTTTGGTTGTAGTTGTTGTAGAAATGTCAGCAACAACCATTCCATTCCCTCATTTTTTGAAAATTGGATTTGGAATTTTGTCTATTGATACATGTAACAAGCACAAAGCTGTACTCAGTGCAGTTAAGGGATGGTTTGCTTGAGCTCTTTTCTGAGCAAGGAAAACATTGTACTTCCCCGTTTGACTGTCTAACTAATGGCTGTACAAGTTATTTGAGCTCTAATTTTTCTTCAATGTCTTAGTTGTAGATTTAGTATATCTGTGCTGACACAAGTACATTTGTATTTAGTATATCTGTGCTGACACAAGTACATTTGTATCATAGAGGCAAGTAAGAAACAACCATTCCATTCCGGAGTGTGATGAAAATATGGGCTATAACTATATGATCTACAGACAGCTGTAACAAGCAGTATGCTGTATTCAGTGGGGTATCTCACTGGTTTGCTTGGGTTCTTTGCTAACGAGTTTACATATTTCTTGATTTAATAATCTTGTCATTGCCCATTGGAGTAATTTGAACTCTAACTTTCTGTTATCTAGTGACTTCTGTTTTACTGTATAGCCCTTGTGGTTAGCCTACTTATGAGTAGCCAGTAGCATGCTTGAAAACTTGACTCTGTTAATTCATGTTTATCAGGGCAAGATTCCTTTAATTGGCTGTGGAGGCATTGCCAGGTAAAACTGCCCAAGTCCTCTGTTGTGGGCATAATTGGTTTCTAGCTATCTGTTTTAGTGTGATATATATAATGTATATAATTGTATTACACAGGAAATTAATTTGTAGATTTCCTTCAACGAGCCTTGTATAATTCTTCTGTTCATAAAATTTTATCCTTACCTTTAATTTAGTGGTGAGGACGCATACAAGAAAGTACGAGCTGGAGCAACACTTGTTCAACTATATACAGGTTTTGCTTATGGAGGGCCTGCACTTATCCCTCAAATAAAGGTATTAGAGTTATCCCTCAACGCTTGTTCAACAGCTTGGACATCTTGGAATTTATCCTTTGTGAATACTATTGCTTCTCATATCATTGTTACCAATTTTTAATTTGGAAGTTTTGGAGCGCATAGGTGGTATCAGAGTTAATTTAACGCATTCCTATTTTGTCGGTTCTAGGCTGAATTAGCTGAGCGCTTGGAGAGAGATGGTTTCAAATCCATTCTGGATGCAGTTGGTGTGGATTGCTGACGACTTTGATCCATATTGAATGCCAGCTGCGGCAGTGTTACTTTCCTTGAATAATTCTTGAAGTTGCAAGGGTAACTTAAAAGTTTTGGTATCATTTATTCCTGATTGAAGTTCATTGCTGTTCTTTTCATGAGCTGGGCAAAGGGTTCTAGGAGTAATCCAAATCCAAGTCTTCTGTATAAATAAACAAATGATTTATGTTGGGGAAGCCCTTCTTTGTGACTGAGGGTTGATTGAGGTTTCTGTTAGCAGTCGAGGAATGCCATATTGATCGATGAAATATAAATTATTGTGTCTAACCCATTTTACAGTTTATTATAAATATAAATTCGGTCATATATGGTTTATGGAAGTGGGATCAATATTTCAATTTCACAAAATTCTTTAAATTTCCTTTCCCTCCTCTTAAATCTGAGCTCGAAACAGACAATATTGAACTTGATCATCAACTCCAGGTTCCATGCGACTTAAAAAGGTTAAATTGCAAATGTGCCACGCATTGGGGTTGAAGTTGAATAAAACTGTAAAAAAATTGAACCCACGCCTTAAGCCTCATTTGGAAGCATGATTATAAATATTTTTAAACACATTTTATGTAAGTGGAGGCATATTTTTTTTTTCAATACTTGTTTTAGATATTGTAAAGTACAATTAAAAAATTACTTACAAGTCATTTCAAACAGATTTTTATTTAACACGGAGAATCATTGGCGATGATTGTCATTATCTTAAAAATATATTGCGATGTAATCACAGTTACGAGAACAGCAGCCACAGTATAAACTGAGACTCGAAGCATTTTATCCTTCCGGAGAGAAGACCATAATTTAATCTAGAACATTAAATTAAGCAAGACGAATTCTAACATTCCAATAATGAAATGCCCTTTGGGGGGAATTTATAGTTCAAATGCTGCTACAGTAGGAGACTACTGATACATGAGATTCAAGGGGTCCTTGAAGCAGCTTTGTTGGTAACAGTAGGGCAGGCCTTTCCTCCACAGAAAGTGGGAACTATCACCGGCATATTTAAGTTCTCTTCCCAGAACCCACTTATAGCATTGTCTATAATTCTGAAGCAAGTCAACCAAAAAGATCATGAATCATGCTGCTGATCTGCACATCTATGGTACATTGTCTTGGCAGAAAATACTTGTATTCTGTACCAACTAGCTATGGAGAAGAAGCTAATTGCTTCAGTTTTGCCTGTAAAACTGCCCCGGCTTCATCTGCTACACTTTTCTTTTTCGACGCAACCTGTAGTTTTGTATTTTGCATCTTCAGCTATGTATAAATAGGTAACTAATATAGAACATGAATATGTCAATTCTACTTTATATTCAATTGAGAAAATAATGAGCATAAGATAAAGCTCAGTCTTGTGAAAATTCGAGTTATGAATACACAAGTAAAATCATCCTGAGCAAAAGGCGAGAGATCTCCACAAACCAAACTGGAAAGTTCTTAATTCACTAGAGTAGTTAAATTCAGATCAGAATCGTCTAACATGCTCTAAATAATGCTTTCTGAAAGGATGCCATAGAAACTACAAGTGCATATCATAAAAATTAAAATAAAGATTTGCTAGAGGAAACTTACATCAACAAGTTGATCATAGTTGGACTTCAGTAAGTTGATTTTGCGCTCACAGTAGTCTTTTCCTTCCGTCATTGATTTCTATTTAGAGCATGAACACAAGTTAATTGGTATATAGGAAAGAAGAACGGCCTATTCTTGTCTCTTATATATTAGTGTAATGGGGATAGAAAGAGGATAGCAGCAAGAATATTTCTTGGTTCTATTTGTTTCAAGAGTAAGCTAAATTCATTCAGCACAACAATTTCGAAGAAAATAACACATTATAAATGAATTTGTTATTTGAACCAAAACAGATGAATAGTGGCCAACGATAAGCTGAGAGAACTGATCATTCTTTCCAGCAGCCAAGCTCTTGGGGCTGAATGTGAAAGAAACTAGTAGTAGAACGCCCTTGGAGTTTAAGCCAAAGCGTTTGAGAAAATCCAGTTTTGTTCCACAAATATATCATGTGAAGCAGTAGAAAACTTAAATGTAACATAGACTAATAAATAATAAATCAGAATTCATAATTAACATTATTCCAGCCATTTAAATAAAAAAAAAATTGTTATAGATTCACCCCAAGCAATACATAATAAAAATAGCAATTCCTCTTCCTTAACAGTTTTATTCTTTCCTAAGTCAGCCTCAAGCTGACTACAGCCCTTTCAAAGTGTTCTTATACGGAACCTCATATCTTATTGTTCATTCTGTTCTCGTGTTTCAACAAGGTCCCCATTTCTTGTCAATGATGATTCTCTTTTTATTTTCAACTCCCTTTAGGTGTTTTATTTGTGTGCCTAAAACGCGATACATTAACCTATAGTGCTAAAACTGAAGACAGAGCAAAACTACAAGTTTTAGCATGTAAAGAGAGAGTAACAAGCTGACCTCAATGAAGTACCCTGTTCCCACATCAACCAAAACTTTATCCGCATCGTCAAGAGTGCCAGGCACATACAGTGATGCAGTAAGAGGTACCAGCATCTTCTTTCCTAAGAAAAGAAAAAGACAATAAAATTAAAGACCCACGACAAGTAAGCAGATGGGAAGATATGCATCCACACATATTTAGCATTATGTAATCATGCGCAATCATACGGATCCCTATAACTTTTACATCATCTATTGAAAAACTGATATTGATATTATTCTAGTTGTAAACATTACCGTAAATAAACCCTCTCAACGCTTCCACAGGGAGGCTCAGAATCTATCACGGTCTTGATCAAAATGAAAATGCTCGTATTATACACTTATTCAATATTCATCTAAGCTCCCCAAAGCCCTAGATTATACTGATACATGAACGGAAATTCCAAAAGTTTCGATTTTTCTACTGGCACCCAATCAAGCTTAGAGAAGAAAAGTTCCCGAGCAAACCTACTCGGTGGATTTAGCCCCTCCTAATTACTCAGTAGATACTTCAGTAAGTCCATGCTAGCAAACCAAACAAAGCGACGACGATAAATTCTAAATGAATGATACCATCATGAATGGCAAAATAGCAGAATGCTATTAGTTATAACCATGGTTAGACAGTGAGGATAGCATCAAAAGAGAAGAATGACAAGAAACAGAGAAGAAAGGAGAGAGACCTTGGGGGCGGAGGGAGAGATCCTGGAGGGCGGAAGAGGCAATATCGAGACGGGCAGTGGCAGTGCGAATATTGTTGATGCTATCTTGAAGAAGATTGACCTCAAGATCTGCTTGTTCTTTCAGCGCCTTCAGCTGCTCTATGCTCATCTTCTCTATACCTGAAGCCATTCTCTCTCTCTCTCTCTCTCTCTCTCTAGCTTCAACAATCGCAGGCTAAGCACAGCACTGTCGCACACAAACCCTCGATCAACCTACGACGACAGGAATGGGACCAACACAGACGACTGTAAGTTAAATAATTCTCGGGAAGGCTTTATTATTATTATTTAAAATAAAATAAATAATTGAGTAATAAAACATTTAAGTAAATTGGTATGAGTATAAGTACAGCCACCGAAGACCCCAAAAAAAAAAAACAGTGTCAGAAGATTTTTTTTTGGGGAGAAACAAGCAGGGCCATCGGCCCATCACCAAAGACGTGGGCTTATTAAGCCCGGGGAACAGAGAATCAGGCATTGTGATGGGGGGCTCAGTATTTTTCTCACAAATTGTGCGAAATTTGATTGATTTTGTTGGGCCAAAGAACTCATCAGCGAGATTAAGCATGATTGAAAACGAAAGGCTTCTTAAAAAAGACCCTTGCCGACAATGTTTTGGGGTTTTCTTGTGATAAGCCTTTTTATATTGAAAGGCAGAGAGATATTAAACAGCAGAAGTCTGTGCAATTAAAACGAATGAATACTGATATATTTGCAAAGTTTTGTGAATTTTACAAGTGATTACAAGGCAGCTTTCATTGAAATATACATACATAAAAAAACAGATTATGTTTAGTTTACATGATTCATCATTCTTTTGGCTGCTTGAAATGGAACCCCCTTTTCACGCACCAGAGACACAGACAGACATGTCACCGCACGTGTGAGTCTGTTGGCGAGACGTCATAAGTTGACGTGTAGGGGAGGGAGAGTGTAAATGCCACCCAAAATGGCACAACCATATTCAAGCTGTGACTTGCATTTGCCTTCTCCTTCTGATCCACAAAGCTCAGCACAAGGCTGTGCAGAAGTTTGATTCGCAGAATGAGAATGCTGTTATAAATGCTTCTTCCTGTACTCACTCCTGAAACCAAACCCAGACTCGTTACATATTTGGAGACATAAAATGGGAATTAAAACAAGTTGAGCTCACCCCAGAAACTGCATTCATTCTGTGACATGGAATGGGTGCCTGAGCTGAAGATGGAGGCTGCAAAGAGCCCCAGAAGGGCATGAAGACAGAAAGCTTTGTCCATGTTCAGTTTCTGAAATTGCCCCAAGTTTTGGCCAGACACAAGAATGAATGGCCATGTTTATATAGGACCCTCAAAGCTTGTAGAGCACGGTCAACAGTAATGGCTCGTTGACATCTACAGTTGCATTAGGCCAATCGTTTTAACATAACATAGCAAACAGAATCTTATTTATTTATTTTTAGTCAATTTAGTAGCGCCATTATACAACTGTTCTTGAGGGGCACGGTTTTAACAACCACATCGTCCCAATTAATTTAGGTAACACCTTGTGTCTTGTTGAGTACGCCGTCAACTCTCCTGTTCTGAGGTTTCCACAATTTTGAAAGTACAAATTCCAGAGCTCCTTGGATCATGATCCTGGCAAAACAATCTAGTTTGAGATTAAAATCCTCAGTGTAATTTATCATATACTACCTCCGGTCCTTAATATAATACTATGTTTGACTTTTATTTTGATCCTAAATATAAGATCTCAATCCACTTTGTCTCTCATATTTATACTTTTTTTTTTTCAAAGTAACCATTCTAATAATGATAGTTCTAGTCAATACACTTGATTAATAATGATATTTTAAGAAAGATAACACCTATTTAGGACAAATAACTAACTCAACTTACTTCCTTAATCTCCTCAAATTAGTCAACTAGCTCTTATACTACCTCCGGTCCTTAATATAAGACTCTGTTTGACTTTTATTTTGGTCCTCAATATAAAACCCCAATCCATTTTGTCTCTCATATTTATACATTTTTTTCAAAATAGTCCTTCTAACAATGATAGTTCTAGTTAATACACTTAATTAGTAAGGATATTTTAGGAAAGACAACACTTATTTAGGACAAATAACTAACTCAACTTACTTCCTTTATCTCTTCAAATTAGTCAACTGGCTCTTATAATTAGGACCGAAGGTAGTACTACCTTTTGCTTTTAATATAAGAGCTCATTTAATTTTTATTTTAATCCTAAATATAATACCTTAATATATTTTATTTCTTATATATATATTTTTTAAAATAGTTCTTATAATAATGATAGTTTTAACTAATATATTTGATTAACAAAGATATTTTAAAAAACACAATACCTATTTATTACAAATAACTAACTTAATTTTTTTAATCAACTCAAATTAGTTAACTAACTTTTATATTAAAAATCATAGTACTGTTCACAACAACAAAGAAGAAAGGCTCCAAAAGGCAAGCCCGTTTTGGCGCCAGACTGAAGCTTCATTTATTTTACTTGTTCATTTTTAATAGCATTAGTCGCTGCAGAAAAACGCATGTGAACCTTAGCACGCATGGTTACCCAATCCTCTGCAAGTTACTTTAAGGTTCCTATACTTCATTTACACTCTCGAATCACAAGACATGATGAACCTAGACATCGACATGGCTAATAAAATTGGGTTCGTTGTATGACTTGGTTTCAAATTTTTTGGGTTCAGATTCAGAAGACATGAAATGAAATTACACGTAGAAAGTCCATACAGCAAGTACAAGAACTAAATCTAGGCGTGCACGGTCGAAGTACCATTCATTATCTCCAACCATGGCAACATAGCCACATATGTAGATTCCACTTATCAAATTTTTCAAAGCCATACAATTACAGCGCCACTTAATTTATATGGATTATTTAAAGATACAAGAATACAACTAACGCCATTCCTTTATCTCAGTAAATTGCTTCTAATATGATCTAATTCATAACCCAACCATGTGGACTAGTTCATTCAAATATAGTCATGAAAATTTAGAAAGCATACAAGAGAAGAGATGGCAATCAACAATTGAAGATGATCTGTACAGTAAAGATAAGGGACAAATTGTCCTAAACACTCAACAACAACGCCTAAAATCTCAATGACTGTCTTCCTTGTCCCGTAAAGCAATCCCATTCCATTTCCTGACAATGCACAAGACAAAATGACCTTTGATTTCCACAAGGTTCCCATTCATAGATAATATCTCCCAATCCCCACTAAAGACTCGTGTAATCGCAGCAATGCCCAATGATTGGCGGAAACTTTACGCTGCACAAGAAAGTTTCCGATCTTTCAGGCATCAATCGGGGTCTGCAAATGTGATCAGGCCAGACAATCTATTAGTACATAACATCAAACAACACTTACCTTCATACCGATTTAATATATACTGAATGTATACAAATTAACTGAAAACAACATATAAAAGTTATTTTGTTCTATCCTTTAAGAGATTTAGATAGACCTCATCTAGATTATTATCTTGGTCAGGAGGGAGGCTTGCTTCAATTGTGTCTATATAAGCACTAGAAATCCATGAATAAAATTATCGGACTGAGACAAATTAACTCAGCGGCTTTTCTTCAATGTCTTATTGCAAGCAGGACTAAACGCTACTTCACTGGTTTTTCTATAGAACTAGCGGATCCAAACCAATTTTCAAAACATTGTCCATATACTCTTCTTCAATTATTTTTTCTTCTTCTAACAATATTTTATATACAACAATCTTAACCCACATATTCTTTCAAACATAATAGAAACCCGTTCCCTATAAAAGTAAGCGTAGTACTCAGTATGTATAATCACCTTTATACAGCTTAACCAAAATTCTTGATGCCCTAAAAGTGAACATTCATTCTGGTTGCAAGTTTAATGTACCAAAGCAGAAGATATGTGAATCAACCGGCATGAGGAAAGCTTTGCCAGTATCAGAAATGTACCAACTTTCATTGAGTGCATTTGAAACACTTACAAATTGACAATTCAATAGGGCTGAAAAGTTTCATTATTTTATTTCTGCTTCTTCGTAACTATCAATGTATCAATACAAAATATAAAATTTGTAGCAGGTGCATTATTCATAAGCCACGAATAGTGTAGCTCCTATTGGACTCCATGCAATTATATTCGTCTAATACTTGATATATTTCATTGAGCTTTGTGTAACTTCGTTTATTCTATCAATATTTCTTTACGCATTTCAGCAAGGTTTAAATATTAGAAAAAATAAGCATATAAGTATAATATTCTAATATGTTATTATCTATCCCATGAATTGAATAGGAAAAAGATACCTAATCTTACTTAAATTAAATTATTACTCAAGTCTCCTTTTTTGAAAAACTCAGACCTATATGGTATTCAAATCCTGCCAGAATTAAGTGTTCATTCTCAAGAATTCATTTGATGTCAAAGAGATGTCGTAATTAGGGTTGTTCAAAAAATACCCGGTCCAACCCGAAAGAACCCAGTCTAGTCTAGACCGAAAAAAAGTAACCTGAAAAAAAAAAAAAAGAACTAGACCAGACCGGGTTGATCATCGGGTCAGACTGGGTTCCAAACTAACCCTTCAGACTAAATAGTCTGGTCTGACCTGGTGTGTAGATTTACTTATGATTAAAAAATTCAATTCCTCTACCAGTAATGAACCCATTTGTTCAACTCTTCCTCACGTCTCCGCCTCCTAGTCCTCCTGCTCATCTCTTCTTCTTCTTTTTTTTGTTCCTGGTCATATCCTCTTCAGGTCTTCTTCTTCAATGTTGTGTCGTGACGTTGCCCATTTTACCATTCATATCTCCAAACCCCTAAGCAGTCCCTTCAAGTTCAATCCTCCTCAGTTGCTGTTTTGCAGTTTCCAACCCTCTTTTCCTATCTTCTTAGTTTGTGACGCTAAGCATATCGACTTGGGTTTCTCAGATCTTGGCTTTTCTTCAACTTCATCTCAAATTTCAAATAAATGTCAGTGTAATGGAAGAAGAGTTGTGCCTTTGGAAAAGAGAGGATGATGTGGGTTCAAATAAATCAAACCTTGCTTCTTAGATCTAGTCGCAAGGATGAAGGAGAGAGAGGATATGGATTCGGCGTTTTCCATATTCATCCAACCAAGATGAAGAATGAGAATGTGTGTTAATGACGTAGCACAAATACGTTTTAAGTTTGGGCTGGGCTATTGAACTTTTTAGAATTTTTGCTTTGTTATGTTTTTACTTGGACCAACTCGAAAGTCTGTATAACCCGGTCTGGTCTAGATAAGGACCGGGTTGTGTTAGGGTCAGACTAGACCACGGACTAGTTTTAAACCCGGCATTATTTTAGACCAGACATCGGGTTGGGTGGAACCTGGTCCAACCCGGTCTTTGTGCACCCGTCTCATAATCATGCATTCTCTCTTGGTCAATATGAATATCGAAACTGCAAAGACAAATATCTACCGAGTTTTTAAAAAGGCCAAAAAGAAAAAACAATAAAAGAAAGTGCCAAAAAGTTTATAGTCTCTCATCATTCAAATAATTCCTCCCCTTTTCATCATTTGCTCCCTTATATTGGCATCTCAGGTGATGAACAAATTGGATATGGGTCGCAAATTATAATTTAACCTCGACAGTCCAAAACATCTCAGTATGTCTCATAACAAACAATCAGAAAATGGAACTCTTCCCTCTGTAAATCTTGGTCAATATTAACACCAAAATGATACTTCCTTTATGTCGATTACTGAATAGCAAAGTAAGCTAATAGCAGAAGCGAATTATGAGGACTAGGTTTATAATTTTTCCTGGACAGAGACCTTCATACTTTGTATATGCAAATGCGATCTATTGCTGGACTATGTTGAACCGTCTGAACAGAAATGTAGATTACCCGTTCATCAACTTTAGTACACGCTTTACAGATGAATCAGTCCTATAAGGGAAATGTCATAGGACAGAAATAGAACATATTAGAGAAGGAGGAAAACTACTTACAGCTTCAATCCAAATCTTCTTGCATAGTTCCCCATCCTCGTTCGCTGCTCTCCTGAGCAGACTCACGAGAGCCAAATGGATACCGCAATGATATCCTAAAAGTCCTCTGAACAGGCCTGCTACCCCCTCCGCTGCTGCTGGCACTGCCAACAGATCTCCACCCGGCATTTGCATTCCCCTGAGCCCTTTGGGCTGGGTTCTCATAATCGGGGTCATCGGTGGGCAACTCATATCGACATACCGGGCAAGAGTTATGCAGTTCGAGCCAAGGAAGCAAGCACCCGTCATGGTACACGTGCTTGCAAGGCATTTGCTTTACCTGGGTGCCCTTCTCGAACTCATCCTGACATACCGCACACTGGTTCATTTCCGAGTTCAACAATTCATCAGTGACAGTAACAGCTGGAAGATTCTGCACGGCATATTTCGAGGCAGGTGGGGTGCCATAACGGTTTGGGTCGTTCTCCGCGAGCTGCTGTATCAATTGCTCCAGGCCAGGACCAAGAAAGTAATCGCCAATGTTTGTGGGTAGCCGAAACGCTTGTTCAGAAGGATGATTGAACTCGAATTGGACGTTCGCGCCATCAGCCTGAAGATCACGAAGGTGGTTCTGGAGAAAATTAACAGGGTCGAATATGTCAGAATCAACAGAATCTGGTCGAATCCTGGTGCGAGAAGCAGTGGACAAGAGAAGGGGAAGAAAGGACAAAGGATCAAAGCCAAAAGAGGGCTCTGGGTCTCCAAAAGGGTTAGGGTTAGGGTTTTCGACTTCTTCAAGAAAGCCTTGAAAGCAGAACGGACAGAAGGGGTCGGACGAATCGGAGACGGGAATATTGACTCTGCGATCGCATTTGTAGCAAAAAAAAGGTTTTGTTCCGCCGTCATGATCGCTTCCAGGGAAGGAAGACATGTTTCCCAGACTGAAAGAGGCTGCGAGAGATGGGGAGAGAAGGGGGTGAAGGGGGATTACTTCGGCGAACCTCTTCGGACCTTCCGCTAAAATAAACAAAAACCGTTGTTTGGCAAAAAGAAATAGGAGGGAAAGAAAATTTTCTCTTATAAATAGTTGATAGATTTTATAGTATTATTATTTATAGATAAAGATCATAGATCATAAATATAGAACATATTTTGGCCAAAAAAAAAAAATATAGATAACTAACTCTAGTGCTCAATATAAAAACTAACTAATTAATTTGAATAGATTAAAAAAAATGAATTAAATTGGTTATTTGTAATACATAGATGTTGTCCTTTTTAAAATATCTTGACTATACATTGAAAAAAACTATCTTTACTAATCATATGTATTAGTTAGAACTAATATTTAATATATGCAATAATTATACAAATTATTTTGTAAAAAATAAAGTGAATTGAGATTTTATATTTAAGACTAATTAAGTGTTAAACTAACTCTTATATTTAAAACTAAATTAAATGTTAAACTTGTTCTTATATTAAAGACATGGGGTAATATATTATAAATTCTCTTCCCATGTTAAAGAAGCGTGTGATTTAAATATAACTAAACCATGCATTTTCTTTTGGAGAATTTGGAGCCATTAACGAATTCCTAGTTGTGCAATGAACATCCAAACCCCCTTCACCTCAGTGGAGTGACTATGTATTCAAATATTTTTTTGCCTTTAGATTATGTATGAACAATTGACCATTTTTTTCTGCTGATTTTGTTTTTTTTTATACATCCATCATTTTGTTGTATAAACAAATATTCGCAATATGTTCAATAGTTGATATAAAAAAAAACTTGTATTAAACTTCTATATATATATCATGTGAAGCTCTATAATCACACATCATCATGGGTTAGATATAATAAATAAATAAATAACTTGATTTAAATATTTTCTAATTTATAACTGTAGATATACATCATTCTACACCTAATTATCTCCCTCTTTTATTTTTTTTGGGCTAGCTACGTTTAATTATCTCTAATCCATATAATAAATTATATCATTCATAATTGTAGCTCATATGCAACAGGCACACAGAGACAATTCTATTTAGGTAATTTCGGGTCTCACAATAAGAACTAACATTATTCATGCCGATGTACAGGGAACAAGCCAAAACCAATCGGTAAAACTTCCCTGTTATGAATTGGAGAGAGAAAAGATCATGTTAACGAGGCGCCAATCAAGAGCTCAAGGTGGGGGTGTGGGTGGAGCCACAGATCCGCGAATAAAATCAAGAGCTCAAGGTGGGGGTGTGGGTGGAGCCACAGATCCGCGAATAAAATACTGGGGATGAAAATGAGATCTTGGGTTGGGTCCCGATCGGAGAAGGCGCATTTTCCTCCTCTCAATCTCTTCTCTGCTCTCTGTCTCTCTAATTTTTTTCCCTCAGGAATCTCATCCACATAATATATATAGCATGCAGCCCTTCTCTCTCCCTCCTCTGTGTCACTCTTCTTTCTCAATCCACACATGGCCTATTCACCTTCGTTATCCAACAGGCCCCCCCTCTTTACACTTCGTACAGTTGCTTCCACCTCCGCTTCCTTCCCTCCGTCCTCCGTCAAGATCTCCTTTGCTTCTTTTCCGTGCCTGAGAACAAGACTGAGGCTCCCAAATTCTTATACGGTTCCTCAGTTTAGGGTTACTTGCGGTGCTGGTATTGCCGAGATCAATGAGACCCAGTTCTCCGACGCTGTCTTGAAGGCAGACCGTCCGGTTCTCGTTGAGTTCGTTGCTAATTGGTGCGGTCCCTGTCGTCTAATCTCTCCCATAATGGAATGGGCTGCTCAGGTCTTTCTCTCTCTCCACTCCCTCCCTCTCTTTCTAATTTGGAGTCGGACTAGGCATTTTTGGCATTCGCATTCCCGAACATCTAAAATGAGAGCATGAAAATTGTACCAAGATACCAAATTTATCTTGAGAAGGGCTTGGATCATCTCTTTTAAATTCATGTACAGAGAGAGTAATATAGCTAGACATACCCACTTCTCACTGATGACTTTTGTGTTTCTGGTCAACCACCATCTTGGATAGGAGATGGAGGTTTCTGGGCGGCGTGCTTTTGAGCCTTTCTGTTGCTTTTTGTTTTCCCCTTTTTTAATTAGTATTTGTATATATTCCTTCCCGTGGATGATAGTTACTGTTTTATTCAAGGAAAAAAGAGAATGGTATCAAGATGGTACAGTGGCAAAATCTAGTGGGGCAAATTAGTTATGCTACACCGTCAGAATTTAGCTTCTGTTTTGTGTGGACAAGACTTCCGTTCCTCTGCACAAGGGAGATTGTCTCTGTCATTTCAGAGGTTCTAGGGGATTAAAGATGAGGCTTCTTGTTGGTGTGCAGCGTATGCTTTTATTTAATGCATATGATCAGTGTGGAATACTAGAATTTTTAAGGATTGATTGATGCTTCTTTATTGGGATACAGTGGGTCGTAGCGCATGACTACTGATCAGTTCAGCTGCCGCTTAATTTAGGGAGGTTTCTCTTTTGAATATGCAGAGAGATTGCAGGACTTTGCTTGATGGACATGCTTTTCATTTTTTCTTTTTTGTATGTTTTGACTTTTCTTCAGGGAATGTTTTACCCCACCCTTGTGCATTTTTTCTTCTCAAATAAAATTTCTTCTTCTATCAAGGAAGGTACATTAAGGCCTCATCTGCATTGAAGATTTATTCATGGCAGGAGTTCTAAGCTTGAGTTATAAGATTTAAAACAATCTTGTTGAGCTGCAGTCATTTTTATGAATTTTGGAACATTTTGGTCTCTTATTGCAATAACCATTTGGTTATTGATAGAACTTAATGGTATCGTGCAATCCAGGGAGCCGACCCTACTAAGTGAGATAAGGTTTTGTTATTGTTATTGTTATTGTTGTAGTATTGCAATAAACATTCAAAAGAATGCCTTGTCATCGAACTCAATTATCTTTTAGAATTCACCAAGCATCCTATAATAGAGCGCTTTTGAATGTGAAATTTTCAAGAGCAACTAAATGACAGTATGAAGCCCAAGTTTCTTAGAAAACATTGGTCAAAAGTTTGGAACCGACATTGCTGGATTGACTCCATGGCCCCTTTGCCGTAGTCAATATCTTTGGGTGTGATCCCTTGATCCCCCAAGGAGTCTGGAAATGAGTAGTATTGGTAGGAATCAAGGAACAGAATTTTTGCTATTTCTTACAAATGACAATGTCCATAAGCCTTCTTATCAAGTGTTTGTGTGGATGTTGATTATTCTTGACTGGATTATGTTATAACTTGCAGGAATACGGAGACAGATTAACAGTTGTAAAGATTGACCATGATGCAAACCCGAAATTGATAGAAGAGTTTAAAGTTTATGGACTACCAACACTAATACTCTTCAAGAATGGGCAGGAAGTCCCAGAAAGCAGGAGGGAAGGTGCGATTACAAAAGTGAAACTGAAAGAGCATCTTGATGCTTTGTTGGAATCTGTATCAGTTACATAGTGATTTTTGTGGCTGTAAGTATCATAAGCTTTGTTAATTCTGAAGTCTGATCCACCCAGAGAAGTTTGCCGCACATGAGCCGATCTCTTCTTCTGTTCATATGTCCTGTATGAAACAATGTTATAGGCCCTTAACATTTCTGGTCACCGGTATAACCTAAAGGTTCCATTGATTTCCCTTTCGTTTGTTCCTGTAATAAAAATCTTGACGCTGCCAAGCACCAGGATAAGCAAAACAAAAGTTTTGCCATAGGTCCATATGCATACATGGAGGTCGGAAATAAATCACTAATAAAAGCTCGTATTATCTGTTATCTTTCCTGGTTCGTTCCGAAATATGATGTCACGAATGCTTGGTGCGGTTTCAAGTTATCAGTTATGCTAGTTCCCAATGTTAAATTACCTAACGATTCAATCAATTTCAGTTGTTAATTTTGGTTTAATGGAAAATCGCGGCTTCAACTTCACGGGATTCCATAATTGACTTTTCGCCGCTAAAAAAAAAGAGAAAATTGTAATAAACTCTCACCTAAAAAAATTAAATACAAAACAAATCTTTTTAAATCATCAAATTAATCTGAAGTTTCAAGGGATTTTATTATGATAAATTTTATTTGTTTGATGCGCTGAGAAAATATGTTGTCAATATCTGTCGAGATAGTTATTAATCGTTACACTTTAAGTTTTTAACAACTATACTTTTAGTTGTCAATACATGTTTTTAAAAAAAGACAAGAACAATTTGGTAATTAAAACAAATAGAGTTTATTGCAATGGGATCCACTGAGGTTTCAGAATAATTTAATGATTTTAAAGGACTTTTTTGTATTTAATTTTTTTGAGTAGAACCTTATTATAATTTTTTTAAAAAAAAAATTCACGAGGTTCCTGCTAAAAACAAACAAAGAACTCCACGACCACAAGGCTGATGCCCGTCAAGTTCCCAAATATCTTGCTGGGCAAAACCATCTGCATTCGATCCACACTTCCAATTATCCATCGCTGATCACAATGGCTCACTTTAGTTTTACACAACGCTTTTTCGTATTTACCACTAACAAGGAGAGAGAACTTCAATCACTCCAGCAAAAACAGTTTGGCCCCCTAAAAAATTTTCGTATATTGTTAGATTTAACAAAATAACCTAGTACAATAATTGCATTAACCCCAGGAAAAGCGAAAAATTTGATCACATATTGAAACTTTTTAACCTTTTTGGCCAGCCTGAAGAAACCAGTTTGTATAAATTGTCGCGTGACGGTTTCAACAAACTCAACCAGGTTGGAGGAGCTTAATGAATAATGCATGCCATTAAAGACGGGCATAAAAGTGATAGGAACCTGTCTCAACTTACCCATTTGTGCGCGTGTTCTAAGGTTTAATGGATGTTTTGATTGGCTACAAAATCAGGAGCCAGATCAACAATGAGATGGATTATCTATTATTATTAAACTAACAACAAATAGAGGGAAGGAGGGAGAATCAAATTTTAAAAACCTAAATTTTTGGAAAATCAAATTGATATCCCCTTTGGAGCTAAATTATTTCTCCAATTAAAAAACAACTACTCCCGTGACATGAAAATAAATTGGATTATCAGTCATTCTTACTTTTTATGTTATTTTGAACTTAAATCCTGATCCCCTCAGCTCACCACAAAATGAAAGAAATTAAGGAAAAAGAATTGGCTTTCATGCCAATCATTCCATTACCAAAGGCATGTACAATCCAGTAATCTAATTCCAAAGTTTCGATATTACATTTAAAACCGAAACAGCTTGGACCCAATGATTCATACACTACTTCCCCACGAGGCACAGCTACCAAGGAAAGGGAAAGTAGCTTCCCAACTTGTACAATTTTTCTCCATAATGTGGCATCGAACAAGCAATAAACACTACAAGTTGCTTCCGGAAGCTGACACCTCAGCACTGCAAACAGGGCAAACCTGCACCACAAGGAGTCAACTATTACACCATTGCTATTACACTACGGAAACTTCCAGGTGAAATCATTGATATGCTCTCCCAAGGCAACTCAAATCAGAGCCTTTACCTCCAAATAACACTCCTAACACCCCACATAATACTGCAAAAGGGGGGGGGGGGGACACTACTAAACCAAAAGGAACAACACCCTACCCTGCTGGATGATGATTGGCCTACAATGTAGCCATGTAGGTCGTTGATAATGTGTCCTTTATTTCCTAACTAAATCTTTAAATATTATTCGTCACTTGACAGGCATATCTGGGAAAGTGAGTCTCATTTACCAACAGAAATTTAGACTCAGATTTGAGTGCGAACGATGTCTTACTACCCAAGTTCAACTCTAAGCTATTTTAGGAACCCTATGAAGGCCAAGGCTAAGAATCACAGATACTCGTTAACTCTCTTAAAAGAGTGACAATAAGGCAGATCTAACATCCATATATTAGAACATGCCTGTGGAAATTAGAAATTACTGAAGCTGGAATTCTAAAAGCAGAAAAACAAGCCTTTCTCTAAGCAATACAAAAAATAAAAATAAAAATGTGACACCATAAATACAAGACCACATTTGATGTACAGAACAAAACATGCATCATGTAGGCGAAGGACAGAACCATACCTTGTTTATTTTCAACCAGTTGTTAATGCACTCAGGATGGTACAAATGTTTGCATGAAAGTGCAGTCAAGGACTCACCATCCTCATAATCTACCCGGCATATGACACATCTAAAAAGGAACCATAACAATCAGGTACAATGGTATATTGTAAATAACAGCTGGTAAGGTTAGAAGTAACAGAATTCCACACATACGAATCGTTACTTCCATGCTGATCACTTCCGATCTTGTAGTTGACCGAAGGCAAAGAGGCTATAGTATCAGTAGAAAGACCTCTGCTCTCAGTTCCAACAACTTCACCCAATGCCAGGAGTTCCTGATATAATTGAAGATTTGAAGTATGCTCTTAATATGCGAAATAGAAGGTGAAAGGAAGGGTGGGCAGCATCACAAGAATACAGAGCAAGCCTGAAAGATTTACCTCATATGAAAGTTCATCAGGATCAACATCCTCCCACGCATCCTGTAGAGTCATATGGCTGATGAGAAACTTAATACAACTCAATATCAACAATACATTAGCTGAGACACTAGAGTCAGGGAAAAAGCTTTGGAGGACAATTGGGAAAGAGGTCCACAAGGTGAGCATTCTAAGATAAAGTTTACAATGGCTGCAAAAATGAAATATAGCTCTAAAGAGAATCAAAGAGACCTAGGAAAAAGTGGACAGTGGCTGGAAAGATAATTGGTCACCAAAAAATGAATAAATAAGAAAAGGTTGTTGGACTTAAATAAAAATAATCCAGTCAGATCATACAAAATATACGAGTTCCATTATAAAAACCAAAGTCTTCTTCAATAATATACCTATTTTCTTCGTCAATAAAACTTCTTTTTTGCTCCAAAAAAAGCTAAATATCGCATATTGGAACACTTATGATTGAGCACTAGCCTCCATCAGCATCAAGTCTAGAATGGCATTCGGTTTAATGATATCTTAGCTTCAAACACCTTTGGCTTTAAAGAAAATTCAAAAGATTCAAGAGGAGGGCAAACCAGATCTAATGATTATGTATTTCGCACTAAAAACACTGCCTCAACCCATATCAACCAAACCATGTACACCCAACCACATTGTGCAGTGATAAACCTACTTTGATTCAGCTATTACAGACAAAGACATCCACAATGTTCATCCACACAACCATAGTACCATTCTTTTAAAATCTCAAGAGGAAAGTTCTTCCCAGTAAGGAAATGGGGAGGAATGGTGAAGAATGGGATTAACAAGGGAAATCAGGGTTGCTCTGCGTTAATGTAAGTTTTAATGAGGATTCCTTAAACTTTTTCATTTAAATATTATATCCTTTGTTGGAAAGCATATTATTACTTCCAGTTTACTGCCTGTCAGACAGCTACATTATTTCATAGGAATGACTGTATAAAAGGCTATAAATACCCTTCTAGCCACAATCTGAGAACTTTTTGCTTATCACAATATGAGGCTGTGTGCTGTGTGCTGAAGTGAAAGAGTTGAAGGGAATTCTGTTTCTTTTAGACTTAAATAAACATGATTGAAAAACAAAAATTATTAATAACCATGTGGAATGGAATAAGCAATATTTTTAGCCATGGCATCTACAATCTACACTCTAAAACATTTATAAAGTGCATAAATCATTTTTAAGCTAATGCCACTTAAACTTTGTCTAATCCAAAACCAATTCCACACAGATTCCAGCGAAACTCATCTAAGTGATACTACTCCGCCCCTTATTATGAGATCTTTTAACTAAATTGCACAATTTAAGAAAACAGTTAAAATTAGTTAAAAACAATTAATATGTAGCAAATACAATTTTTTTTCCAAATATACCCCTATATATCAATGGGTAGATGTGAGATAGTAATAGTAAGATAAATAAAGAAAGATAAGGTTTAAACGCATTAAACTAGGGGTAAAATAGGTAATAATGTATTAAATATTCAGACAAACTCAAAAATGATCTTATAACAAGAGACAAACCTATTCAAAAAATTGGATCTTATAATAAGGGACGGAGGGAGTATTCAATGAGCTCCAATAGAAAAAAAAGTGTAAATGTTAAGTTACAATGTTTCTCCACTAGGATTGCAAAACTAAACAATGAGATTTGAGATGAAGAAATTTAGCAAATATGGTACATTCCTAGATATACTTTTAAATGTTCGTATGTCCACAAGTGCGTGGGATTGCACAAAGACAAAACCCATGACTAAATTTAAATGCAAATGCACATGAAATAAAAATATTCCACCTGAGAATTAGCACCATGGTCTTCTGTGTCCTCAGCTTCCCCTGCAAAGTGAAGAGTGATTAGCAGCCATATATATCAGATAATTTTGAGGAAAAAGAAAACCAACTGATTATATATTCATGGCCAAGAAAACTAACGATCATTTATCCCAGCCATTGCGAATAGTCTAGCCGCCATTTCCCTTTCTTCAGCCTCTTGTAATGCTCTTGCATAGGCTTCATCACTTGAGAACGCATCAGGGTCAAATTCAATGCTGGTATTATCAATTTCACCAGAACTACCATGAGCATGGACATCAAACGCATCTTCATCATCATCATCATCATTATTGTCATCATCGTCATCATCATCATCAAGGTCATTGTCTTCATCGTCATCAGTACCATCACGTATATCCTCAAAATCATCAACGTCATCATGCAAATAGTTGCCAGCTTCCCAACTTCCATAATCACTTCCTTCGTTGTTCATTCTCAGCATCATGTATGCCCTTTCCTATTCAAGCATTAACAAATAAATGATATGCATAATTCAGAAGCATAAGAAAACAAGAAGGGGGGAAAACAATAATTGTAGCAAGTTACTGAAAAATCAAAGAAAATAATTAGTGAAATAGATATGAAGCAACGCCAAAACTTATAACTGACCCGCCCCCGGGGGGGGGGGGGGGAGAACTCCAAAAGGTAGCCGAAAGCAACTTGAGGAGTTGAGGTCAAGTTGAATTGTTTTATTGTGCACAATTTTTTTTCAGTTTACCCCAAACCACAACAAAGAGGAATGAGTGTCAAAGCTTATAATCCCATCTCTAGACCCTTCTTTTCTTCATTAAATTTTCTTCCCCACCAAAACGAGTATGAAGCTCGAAATAAATACAAAATCTTCAACAACACAAAGCACAACAAAGGAAAATCCCAAAAAAGAAATAACAGCCAAGTGAGAAGAAGATTTAGAGGTAAACCTGCTCCTGAAGGGTTCGAGCAAGGGCGAGGTCAGCATCGACCTGACTGAGATTAGTGAAAGGGGTTCTGGAAGGGGGGCGATGAGGAGACCGGACGGAGCCAGATCCAGTCCTCTCTCCGTCTTCTTCATCCGCACCTCCATTCTCATCTACATCCACTTCTTCTGTGTGCTCCTCTTCATTCAAATTGGAACGCTCTTCGCTGTCATTGATGGGTTTGGCTCCTCCTGAAACTGCTTTGGTGTTGTTGGCGGTGTGATTCTCCATGGAAAAGAAAGAACACTAGACAGAAATTCGACGGAGAAGAGGGAATGAAGTGGAGAAGATCGAATGAGAAGATACGAAAGTCTTGTCGAAAAAGAAAAGGTTGGACGAAGAGGGACGGCGTTGGGACTCCACAAGTTTGGACGCTCCGGTTGAATTCGACCGTCGATAGGGGACACCCCAGTGAATCTGGGCCGTTAGCAGCATGCGTCTGTTTTCCCGAACACCAACGATACCCGCACCTTTTCCCTTTGAAAAAAAGGTACTCCGCATCTTTTATTTTTAAAATTAATTATACAAAGCTGTTATTTACGTCTTAATATATGTAAATTTGAAAAAAAAAAGACAATATATAAATATATTGATAGTAATTATTAATTAATATTGATTTTTTGACCTGATCGCTATTGATACGTTGAGTTGGCGCACAAAATTAATATATTAACGAAAATTTCAAAAAATATATAATCTATATACGTATCTATTTGCATAAAAGGCACGTCAACATTAGAGAGTGTTGCACGTTAGTTTAAAAACAAGTTAAAATGTTGTGAATTGTGATAGTGCGACTCTTCTTAATTTTAGACTAGTATTGTACTTTTATTTTAGAATGAGAATAATTAGAATAATATGTTGGATTATATAGAAATAATATAGAGTGAAATTTGTCGGAGATATTATGCAACATGAGAACTTTGGGCCTCATTGTGAGCATCAGTGGGCCGGACGGAGTAACAGATCAGCCCAACATAACAAAGAGGCGTACGGCCAACGAGGCTAAAAGAAAGAATAAATGCCCATTTCGTCTGTTAGCTCAGTTCAGGAAATATGGACAATGGACTCATCTCTCTCTAGGGTTCGAGTCGAAGAAATAAGGAAAAGGATCAAAGCTTTTGAAGTTGCATGCTAATTCTAAACGCGAGAGGATCATCCACAACATGAATAATCCCAATCAAATTAGACCCAACGCTTTGTATCCCAAACAAAGGCCTTCGAGGAGAGGTCCAACGGGAGAAACAATGCCGGATGAGATTAGACCCACGCCACTGTTCCAGTAAAGCTACAATCTACTATAACGCAAGATTTTTAATTGTCTCGTCGTTGGTATACCAATTTCTATTGGTACAAAGCTAATACACACTGAGTTTGGCAGCCTATCATTCTATCAATCAGTGGCCATCACTCACCAAACAACATCCCTTTACAAAACTTGCGTCCATTCAACTACTCTATTTGCTTCATATAGACCCTAAGTGTCTCTCACAAAGCCATCCCAAAGGCGATTTGCCAGGGAAATTACAAACAGACAGTCGATAAAATAGAGCCACAATGTTTCAATCCCACAAAGCAAAATGTTTGTCTTTGAAGTGAGAAAAAATAAGACTGATTAGTTGGTCTTTCTTCATCCGTTGCAGCTTCAAGTTGAACATCTCAACCTACTACTACAAGAACTCTATTCTCTTCTTAAATATCTTCATACTAATGAAATGAGATCAAAACTCAGTTTACTGCCTGCAAAAGATCAACGATTCTAAAATATGAACAGGCTTCTCTGGCTCCCAGAATCTTCAACATTCCAGCCTGAATGGAATCTATATGACGTCCAAAACACATTCTTCAAATGCGTAAGCTGGCAAGTGGAAGAAACCTTGGATGCCACGAACTGCCCTTATCACTATGTCTGCGACAGAAAGTACCCTGCAAATTTCCCACTTGCTGCAGATGTCTTGGTCCTCCTCTTCACATCAGCTTCTTATCTCGTGACCCTTTTCACTGTGATAATGGATTTGAGCTCAGGAAGAAGGGGGATAAGATCCCCAAACAGATACTTACTACCTTCTGGCCCAATTCTCCTCCCTTTGATAATCTTAGCCTTTGCAAAAGGCTCTCAGATAAACACAATATTTCCGCTCTCTTACATGGGTCCTCCAATCCTTCAACTAGTTCTAATCTCTGCACTGTCCTTTGACTATGGAGCTGATAAGGACTTAAAGTATACTTTTTTTGCTGCATCCACAGTTTCCGGAATTCTTCATGCAAGCCTGTACTTGGATTCAGTTGTGCTGCCTTATTACACAGGTTTTGATGCTCTGGTGTCGTCCACATTTTCAGGTGAGTGTGAGACTTGTGTGTGCAGAAGAGAGGCTTTGGTTGTGGGAGGGAAGCTGGTGAGGTATAGGGGTTGGTCTGTGACCACATTTTTGGTGGTGGGTGTTCTGTGTTTGAGGATTCTATGCAGAATAGTGGGTGAAAGTGAAAATGGGAAACTTTTGCTGCTCAAAGGCCTGATGGAGAAGTTGAGTTGGATATCCATAGCCATTGATTGTGTTTATCTGACAGTGAAATCACCACCAGAGAAAGCATTGTTGAGAATTGCTGCTTTTGGAGGCATTTTGGTTTTGATTTGCCTTCATGTCCTCAAAGAGGCATGCACGTACGTTTATGCTATGGCCAATGTGGCAGAAAATAGGAGATGGGTATCAACTCAATCGTTAACAAAATAATCAAGACACACGAATGATCGATGAAGAGCGGCATGAGTTTTTGGATATCTGAAGCTAACTCTCAATTGTAATTATAGCCACTTTTATTGAAGAGATTTTATCAGGAATTCAGAGAGAAAGATAAGAACATATCATGTTCTCCTTTTTCCCCGGTTAAAACTTCCTCCTTTGAAGTGAACATATTCGTTTTTTTTTTCCTTCGTTTTTTCTCCTGCTCTTTTACGATCGAGATCGAGACAATTAAGCACGCCTGCATGGAGGGTCCCTGAGGCGTTTTGTATTTGTTTATATTGAAATGTTCATCATTGAATAATTCAAAGAAAATAGGAGAATAACCCACTGAGCTTATGTTTGATAGGGTTTAATGTTGCTGTATGTATTATTATGAGTATGCCTAGAATGCTACAGAGAAAAGTCAAAACTTGCACTCTAACATTCTTTATTTTTTTCAAATTAAATAATTGATTCTTATATTAAGAATCGGAGCTAATAATTTCTAAATGAACCAGAGGATTACATCCCTATTTTAGAACATGAAAATAGATTACTATTAAAATATGTCCAGCACAAAACATAATAAGTCCAATGTATTAAGAAAATGACGAGACCTAATTGGTATGTTAGAATATAATATATTCTTAGAAGATCTAATATGGTTGTTGATATTATTGCAGTGTCTTTGTTAGAGAAATAAATACTGTGCAAAATGACATTAAGAGTGGGGATTATACCTATCTTTAAGTAACATGTAATTTGTACTAGGTTTAGTCTGTTTCTTTATTATTATATCTAAAAAATCATTTATGATTCCCTGAGAAAACAAAATGTGGGTAATTACTAATTAGGCTTCTGTAACTCAAAATATAATTATAATGATAGTAAATAAACCCAAATTCACTGGCTATGCAACTAAAAATTATTAAGCTCAGCCTAACCTAAATAATATAAAATGCACCCTAGGATCAACCTGGAACGCATAAAGAACATGTAATTTTTATGTTATCAATAGTTAGTCTTCCGCGGTGGACTTGATAGGACGAGTCATCAACTCATCATAGTTTCACATATATCATGGACTAGGGATACAGCTAAAATTAGAGGGACTTGTTCTAAGATTTTCAAACTACAGATAACCTATTGGGAAAAGACAAAGATATAATAAATTATACTGATTAATTAACTAATTTTCTCTCTTCCTTTTCCCTTTTTTCCCCTCACAAAGTATGTCGTTATTCAGTGTAACAAGTTCGTTAGCGATAAGGATAATACTTAGGCCCACTTGTGGTATTGTGAATTTGTGATTGATAACTCGGAAAGACCACAAAATACGATATTTACAAACTTCACAAGCAACTCTTCAATGTTCCCTTTAAATTTATAACAAGCAACGTTTGTTCTAAAATTTGGAAGCTGTTCATGAGAAGGAAGCTCCAAGCATGATAGCAGAAGATTACCCAATCCATTGATCATCACAGATGCATGCCTTCACAATAGTTGAGAAAACAATCTTCAAATATACATCCTGAAGTACATGCGTCTTTCGTTTATACATAAAGAAAAAAAAGATAAATGAAAAATGGAAAACCGAAAAATGTACATCATGTCGTTACTTGAATGAGTAATACTAAGGTATAAAACACCAAAATGGGCCTCAAGTTCTGAAAGAATGCCCAGGGTTTGGACTGAACAAGTATGTCCAACCTAGATTCGTAACAATAAAATGATTTATACAATGAAAGCAAGATTTTTTTCGCTTCAAACGTAAGATGAAAGGGAGAGACTTTAATGAACTACTTGAATATTTTCTACACAGATATATCTTACACTATCAAATGATCACAAGTATGTGAAGTCAGGAATTGTTTAAATTCTGAAAAAGCTCTGGAAGATGAGCGTTGGTAAGCTTGGTCCTCTTGCTGATTTCATTCTTCTTCTTCTTAGGCTTGGGTTTAGAAGAAATGCCTTGAATCTGCGCTGCGCTCCTCCTCTTTGCAGTGTTGGTAGCAGGTTTCATCCCATTCTTCTGGAGATCCTTCTCTATGTCAATCATGTCACGAGGCAATTCAATCCCCCGGAAAAGCTGTTTTATGTCGTCGTCTACTTTAATAGGCACTCGGGGGTCATTAGGGTATGCAATATCTTCCTGCGAATCAAAGTTGGACAGTAGCCAAATCTGCCCCGCAGCTTTCAGAACCTGTTGAGAGAAATCCACATAAGGTCTCGTTCCATGCAAAACTAATAATTAGGCTAGATTTTGACCGTTCTTCCCCGACTAAAAATGTCACCTACCTCCTAAACTATATATCATCTGATTATAAGCATTGTAGATCAACTTATTCAAATAAGCCTCTTCAGTTTTATATGTAGATGAACTAACAACTCATTTAATAGAACCTCATCCTGGTAACAGAACTTTGTTCGTCTCAAACATCAAGCATCCCCTTTTTATCATGTAAAACTCGATATGATAGAGAGCAGATATACAAAAGAGGATGATCCTTACCAGACAATTCTAACCACCTAATAGGTGATAGAAGTATAAAAAAAAAATAATCACCCTCAGTAAAACCATGAACAGTAAGATTTTATGCTGAATATAAGAAGTCAGCAACAACCAAAAATCTAAACTAGTAAATTGACTGACTTGAAAAACCCAGTATTACTGCACTACACTGTGGCATGAGATTCTTTCGAAAATGTAAAGAACATGCTCATGGTTGTCCCAGTAACTTATTGTGCATAGAGAAACTATTGACTTTGAGAACATGTTTAGTTTTGCACAATGGACCCAAAGCAATGTAGGAATCAGCAAAATATATATATGACCAACATTCCACAAATACTAATAAAAAATTAAAATTCATAAAAAGGAAAAAAAAAACGGATAGAATGTTCTTCAACCTGCAAGTCCTCCATCACAGTCGGGTAGGCATCCTTCAGGTCAATAACAGCAATGCCCTCAGGAAATTTGCGAATCAGGTACAGAAGTTGATTTTTGTCCTTCAGGTCATGTTTTGACTATAGACCAAAGAGAAAAGGCAGAATGTCATAGTCCTTATTACTGGCACAACATGAGAGGTTGTCGTTATCTAAAGCAACATTCGAATATAAAGTCCAAATAAATGCTAAGAAAATGTAACCTTGTAAGAGAACCGTTCTCCATCATAATGTACTTTCGGATTTTTCCTCAAGCTGTCAAAAACGTCCTTGTTAGATTTCATGTCAACATAGCATGCCTCATTTATTTGCTCAGGTGTAAAAGCCTGTCTGGTCTGCAAATAAGGAAGAGTGTATTAACCACCCTTTCATTTTTATCATCAGCAACAATATCACTTACAGATGGCTGAAAAAAATATATACACACTTGTAGATCACGTGAAATAATAATGGGAAACGTTCAAATCAGTGCTCTAATCATGATGTACAAAAATTTCAAACATTCAACAAGTCCTGATAAGCATACCTTGTCACTCACTTTGCTATGTCTACTGATGGGCCCAATAGGTATTGGGATAGGAAATACAAGCGAAGGACTCAGGGCCTCAAGCCCAACATTATTCAGGGTGAGCTGGGTAAGGAGGGCAAAACTGGGAATGCAAACGGTAAACAGGGGATAACAAACTTCTGACAGTGTCAGGTAGTGGGAGGCGTTTAGAAGGAGGAGGGAGTGAGTGGCGAGGCAGACAATTTTGAGCATTAGACAGGAGAGGGGGTCTGTTCTCTCGAACAACAAACCATGGAGAGTGTTCTTCTTCATTGGTAGTTATTTCCCCGTAATAGTTTCTAGTATCTAACCCGTTTCATCATCTATTAGTGAGTGTATTCTCTCATTTTCAATCAGTAAAGCTGTAAAGAGGATACTCAACATTGTTTATCAGTTCATTTAGTTTCGGTTTACTGGCTCTATCATCTACTATTCACACTACCTTGAGCCTAGAATGTCATTCATAGAGGAAATGGCTTTCTGGTGATCAACATCGAACTTCAACCCATTCTTCACCATAATCACCCCAGCAGCATTATAGAACAAGACATCAACGCAACTTTTTTTTTCCCCTTGAAATCTCAATAGTAAGATTAATACCGTTATGTTGTTAGCTCTGACAACTCAGAAAGTACATAATTTTGCAGCATACACTAAAATGAAAAATCATCCAGGGTTCAGCTTTTTGTAACCTTAAGAAATGCCCCATTTTTCTATCACAGCTAACTGTCAATACCCATAATAACTTAATATGATACAGAAATCTGTATAAGGTCATTAACAGAGGAAAGAAATACGAAGGGAGTAAATAGAACAAATACCTCTAGCAGCAGATCAATAACACGCTTCATCTGAGCTCCAACAGGGGCCTTCCTAATACTGTTAATATGTTGAAGCCTCTCTGTATCATTTGAAAATTTGACAGCAGGAGCTGGAGTTTTCCCATTGGCCAATGCAGATGCAACTGCAGGAGTAGATTTTTTACTTGCTGCAGCCTTACTAGCTGCAATGCTCGTGAGGGTTGACTGACACTTCTGCTGCTGTTTTTTAAATCGGTCTAACTGTTCTTGCAGTGCCATCTGAGATTACAATTACTCAATTAGGAGATATAGCGCGTACAAGACGTGAAAGAAACAAGATGTCCTTAAGGTTAAGAAAAGAAAGGAGTCACCCGATGGGTAAGAATGCTACTAATTTGTCATATTTACTGTTCAGGTTATATTCACACATAAATATCGCAGATCAAAAGAGACCAAACCCGCATCAAATAGATGGCAATAGCATAAAAGAATAGAGCTCCTAAAATGTCAAGTAAGAAGTGAATTTTAAATGATCCAAACCATATCAAATCCTTTTATTGAAGAAGAATGTACACAAAAAATGGTTTTTTTTTTCCAGTTCAGTGCATTCTGAAACATTTCCAAACGTGACTCATGACGAAATGGTGCCAAAACAGCACTGAAATGCTACTGTGCTTGGAAGTGGATGATCCTTCTCACGTGAGAGATGCGGACTCAGGAGAACTAGGGAGAGGGAAAGAGAAAGACCAACAAACCAGCTGTAAAATGGAGCCCAAATAAGCTGTGCAAGAAATTATGAGGGAAGTTTGTTGCTGCTTGTTCAAAGAGGATGACGAAAGAGTTAGATGAGAAGGAAGAGGCCTCGGGGATTGAAGATGAACCCGCCAAGAGTGATTAAGGGGCTTTGTTTTAGAGACAATACTGGTGAGAGGAATGCAACTTTTCATCGTAAAGAGATTGCATCCAGAATACTTAACGAGTGCATCTAGTCAGAGGAAAAAGCATTCCTTGTCCCTTGAGAAAAAGAGATATGCAAAAGAAATGAGAATTGAAATGAGAAATATTGCCCATTTCACCTTTTAGCTCAGTTCAGGAAATATCGACTACTCCCTAGGGTTTCCAGTCACCACTCGAACTGACTGACAAATTATTTGTATCATTTTTGGCTTCACAAGGAAAAGAAAAAAAAAAAGGTCGATATTCTTCGATATCCTGATGGTATTGACAAGAAGAGAAAAGGAAACGCTACAAAATAGCGCAGAAGAAAAACACCAATCCCTACTTCAACTTCATATTTCGATGAGAGCGTCTAAACATGTGCTCAATGCAGAGCTAGTTTTTTTGTGGTTTGTAGACAAGACTTTTCTCTTTCAACGATTCCATCTGGTTAACTGATTAAGGAACGGTACACAAAAGATTTAAACTTCCATGCTAATGCCAGAGGCGGAAGAATCATCCAGAACATGAATGATTTTCAATCAAGGAAAGCATATTCCCACTGGTGTTAAGATATGAATATAAAAAGTATCGCAGACAATTAGTTACCCTGAATCTGCTACTCCTAACTCCTAAAACACGCAATTTGAGCAACAGCGAAGGAATTGCAGGATGAGATTAGAGACGCACGGCCGTCCCACTACGGCAATTGGGGCCTTCTGAGTCATGAAAGGAAATCCCAGACCGAGGCACTACATAAATGCACCAAAAACGCAGCGTTTGAAGCATCTTGAATCGCGTAAGATCATTTTTTGAAAAAGTTAATCTAAACGCTCACTTTTAGTCTTTTTATTTTAAGACGCGTTTGGCATCGTATAAAAATACTTCTAAAAAACATTTTTTATAAATTGAATTAAATTCATTCATATATTTATTTCGTATATTATAAAATTATTTTTAAAACTATAATTTGACAATATTTTGAGCTTAGCTCTTCTCGGTAACCCAAAAATATATAATTTTCATTTAATAAATAAAAATAAAATTATATTAAATTAACAAATCAATTTATAATTTTGAGCTATGCGAAAAATATTACATACTAAATAAGAATAAATTTTCTTATACAAAATATATAAGACATATATAAGGGAATATATTTATCATGGAAAAAAATCTAAATTTATACAAAATAGGAATAAATTTTCTTTTTAATGCGATTGCAAATAACTGTGAAATGCCAATACGTCCATTGATTATAAGCTCTCTTTTTTTAATTCTTTTGTCTGGTTTGATATTTCAATTCTCTTCTTATAACTCGTATCAAGAAAAAAAACTTGCAAGTTTCTATTGGCACAAAACTTGGCCTATGGTAGGAAAGGGGAAAGTGATTTGATTCACGAACGTCACACTTTTCCAAATCCCTTTAACCAAACAATAATAATTCTATCCACATTTCTGTAACGGCAACGAGATTTAAAAAAAGCGATCGGAGAAAAATGCACTTTTGAAAAAGCATCGTTGCTTGTACATATCACCATCCATGTGATTATTTACAGAGTTTGCATTCTGGTGTTACACGGTGCATGGAGAGGGCCTTACAAGAGGATGGCTGCCACTACAAAACAAAGAAGCAAACTTCCACAGGCTTCCATTTTAATAGATCCTCGTTACAATTTAGCCTTAGCTTTCTTCTTTCCTTTCTTTTGATCAAGTAGCTCTGTTCCTGAAAATTCAATGAACGACGGTCAGATCCATTCATGACAAACTCAAAACGACTTCTGCAGATGATAGTAGAAAATTGCTTCAAATACAAGCTTATCTTTTGCATTTTGTGTCACTCAAAATTTTAAAAATTTTGCTTTTGAATACTTGCCAGATTAGATTGCACACAGCACATGCAACCCAAATCTAACAAGTGTAGCCAAAATTACCATATATAAAACCCATGAGAGAAAAATACTTCCTAATTGTTGCGGTTTGTGAACATAGTTACTATTACCGCAATACTGTGCCTCACTAAATTTAGCCTCAAACAGCAAACAATATACGGTTAAGTTGAAAAGAGAAAGAAAAAAATCATACAGCACATTACCTTGTATTATTAAACATGAGACATAGTAGCAGGAAAAAAATTATTAACAAGGGATAGTGTATGATTTTAATCCCTTAGGCAGCCAAATACAAACAAATTATGCCACGTGCATTCAGAGATAAAAGAGAAACTTAGGTATGTGGAATTAAAAACAGGCCCACTAAGATTTCCTTTTATGCACAAATTAATAGTGTTCGCAATAGGCCTGAGAAGAACTTATAATATTACATATGGACACAGAATTATAAGAACAAACAAACTCAATAGAAGTACTATTCACTTCCAAGGTGAATCCAGAAAAATTTAGAGCTTAACGAGTAGTATCACTAACCTTCCTTCCCCCATGTTTGCCCCACCACGTTGCCCATTGCATGAATAAGCATTTTTTTGACCTGTTCCCATTAAAAGAGCAATCAAAAACTGCATTCTCATAGAGATTTAGAATATATGCTTTCACATAACACAAGAGTCAGATAAACGTTGCTCATTTCAGTCATCTGAACGTCTACTCAATGTTTTGACCAACCAAATTTGACTAGGCACAATCTCATCCATTCAACTTGTGATGAACCGAATTAGCAAATGGAATGACCAAATACACACGTCCACATAGACTAGGCATTCATTGCCTTCAACTATATCGTCTACATAAAATGGAATCGACAACATTTTCATTGTAACAAACTTTGACAGCTTTGTATATTTCACCCAAATTTGTTTGTTTAGTCTTCACTGTGCAAGTTGATTCCTCATTTTTCATCAACATTTCTTAAATATACTTCAAATAAATAAGACAAATAACAATTACATACTTTAAGCCATTACACAAAACAGTGTAATTATCACAAAGCTCCTAAACAAAACCTCTTGACAAAGGTTAATGCAATAGTGCAGTGGGAGTATTCTAATTAGAGAAGAAAGAATAGAAGTAGAAAGAATAAGAGAATAGAGAGGAACGTGGACTTCAGAACTTCATCCTCAATCATACAACTCCTCTCAAGTCAGATTGCAAATTATAACTAAACAAACAACCATCATAACACAACATAACAATTACTACCAAGGATAATTACTCCTCATCCACGATCACAACATATGCTTACATAGGCGCAGATATGAGGCAAAATGAGAGAGAGAGAGAGAGAGAGAGAGAATCCCACCAAACAAAAATGGGGGAAAAAATCTTATACCTCCAATTTGTCCTCAATAGCCCTGTGATTTATGGGAAGTGTGCGAAATTCCTGTGTTAAACGAATACACTCCTCTATACTTTCAGGTGACACAAAATCGAGAGCAACCTTGATACATGACTGCAAGAGCGAGACACATATTTACAGCAATTAAAATATTGCCTATAGATGATTATTGTATATAAAATGTCTCCAAAGATTTGAATCCAAACTACCGAAGTCAAGAAAAAGTATTTACCATTCTTGCAAAGCTTTCAAGAACTAATAAGTTTACTGAAGTTGAAGGACAGCATACTTATTCAAATGAATTACATGTACCTCCCCTAAAATCTTCAATAAAATAATATGATGATTGATGCAATGCCATCAGTGTTACATGTAGTCTACCACATGCTGCTTTAGACATTTTACATTCTGTTTTAATTGTTATATTGTATACTATTTATTCAATTTGACTTTATTATTTTAGTAAGTCAAATAATTAGGATCATCTATAGTTTAACTTGAGTGACCATATTTTGTGGTTCTTTCTTCATGTTTTTCTATTACTACAAATATCCCCTCCAAAAGGAGAACACAAGAAGAACCAACATCTCCCCCCCCCCCAAAAAAAAAAGAAAAAAGAAAAAAAATTCTAATAGCTCCGCACCTTGAAAACAAATCCAAATGATCCCCTTTGGCATATCATGAGTAACATTATCTTTCATATTATAAAGATATAGAGAAATATAATATGAAACTCTCGTGTCTATTCATGATCAAAGGAGGTATTTACACAAGAGAAATGAGTCTCACTATTAATGGCTCATAATCGCTTAATAATACCCTAACAGAATAATATCTGATTCCATACTAATCATAAAAATTATATGCTATTTACATTAATGAGAGAATATTCTAATACTGCCTCTCAAGTTGGAGCATAGATGTTAATCTTGCCCAACTTGTTACACAGATAGTCAACCCAAGTCCTATTAAGGGCTTTTGTGAACACATCACCTAACTGGTCAATTCTCACAGAAATAAAATTCTCTTTAATTTTATCCCGAACAAAGTGATAATCAATCTCGATATGTTTTACATGTTCATGAAATATAAAATTGGAGGCTACATGCAAAGCAGCTTGACTATCACACCACAACTTTGCTAGTAACAAGATTTAGAGGCCAACTTCCTTCAATAACTGATAAATCCATACCATCTTACACACAGGTTGTGCCTGGCTCTGTACTTTGATTCTGCACCCTACCATGATACCACATTTTGCTTCTTGCTCCTCCAAGATGCCAAATGTCCACCCACAAGATCACAATATCCTGCAACGGATCATCTAGTAGTTTTGGCTCCGCCATAATTTGCATTAAAAAAACAAGTACTCAATATCTGTAGAACCATGATTCCTCTACAAGATGCGAAGACCCAGGGTTCCCTTAATAGGTGACATTTTATAAAGCCTCATATTGATTAACAGTTGGCGATGCCTACGTAAGTGATATCAAGACGAGTCACCACGAGATAGATCAATTTCCCAATCAATCTCCAATACTTCTTAAGATTTTCAATAGACTGCTCTTGTTAGCATCTAGTAATGGATTAGGGACCATGAGGAAACTGCATGGTGTAGATCCTAGCTTTCCAATTTCCTTTAGTAAATCAAGAACATATTTCTCCTATGTCAAGAGAATGCCTTTCTTACTCCTCATAACCTTAGTTCCTAGAAAGCGTACTTCGGCAAACCAAATCTTTCGCTTGGAAATGAGAGTGAAAAATGACTTGAGTGCCGAGGTCTTGCAGATAAATGCTCATAAGAAATATAATTTACCAGTTAGGTATCTTGTACATGCCCTAAGTTCTTTTCTCAATGCAATGGGCCAACTCAAGTCATCATCCATCACAAGTGCAGGACTTGAGCTAAGTTCAGATGATTGGACTTGCAGTGAGGAGGCTGGATAAAAGTGTGTATCATTCTGTTCTACATCACCAATAGCAGCACCAGTCTGGACAGTTTCCGGTATATTTTCAGTGCCTGTAACAACTTCTGGTACAATTCCAGCACCCGTAACAACTTCCGGTACAATTCCAGCACTCGTAACATCTTCATTCTGGTTATTTTGGACATTCTGCACAGATCTTGACTCTTGCAGGCTTAGGTTTAAAAGGTTCAGGAAAGCAATAGGTGTTAAATGGGTGAAGAGGGTGAATTTTATTGCCGTACTTGTGAGTCGCAAAACATCCACTCTTGAATTACCTTTCTTCAATCATGTAGCTGACCGTCGATCTCAAACAACACTAATGAGTATACCTCTTTCGTTGCATCCCATGTATCTCGAGCAGTTTTGTACTGTACCAAGTTGCACCCAATCTTGAGATACAAAGGCAAGCAATAAGCTTAAGAGAAAACCAAAAGAAGAAGCAAACAACTAATAGCGAGCTGATCCTCCAAAACCATGCTTAGGCAACCTTCATGTATAGTTGAACCCAAATTTACTCTGTCAATTCCAAGTGACCCTCTCATGCCAGGTAGTCAGCACACCAAATATCGTCTCTGGAGTTTCTGCGTAACTCCGCTTGGTCATAGCTAAGTAGCTGGTCTCTAATCTCCAAGACAAGATGTCTCAATGGTTGTTCAAGATGGCAGTCCCTCCTTCACATATTAGAAGCATCTAAAGAGTCTGTGTACATGACAAAATTTTTATATTCAAAGTTGCATCCAATCTTGAGGGTCATCAAACTAAATATTTTCAGCCATCAAAGCAACAACTCTTGTATTTGGGCTAGAAGAGAAAATCTTCTTGTTGATGTGATCTCCCTTTCCCCTTCCTCTAATAAACACATGGAAGGTTTGAGAACAGTGGAGATAATGGTCTCCATCAAAGCGATGGCTAGTGATCATTAAAGATGAGAGATCATTTGTAGGGTTTTGTAAGAAAATTCAGCTGGTGTGTATTTGAGCCACCAAGAGTTTCAGTGGCAAAGGCCTGGTATCCGACCGAATAGGAGAGGAAGTTTGTTGGAGCTCATGGCTTTGATACCATATAGTTTGCCAACACAAATAATTATTGGCAGTCATGTTTTTTTCCTTATTAGGGTTAAAATAAAGAAGCAGGCAACATGCCTCCCTCAAATAGCCATGAGATTAGGAAGATTTTAGTTAAAAGCTAAAATCTAATCTAAATAGAAACTAATGACTAATTCTACGTTTCATAAAAGAAATAATAATAAAAAATAATAGGGAAAAAATAAATAAAAACAAGACATATTGCTGCCCTAGTAATGTTTCGCGTCTTCCAACAATAAACGGAAAGATCAAACATGTCCTGCATATGCTTCCATATTCAAGGAACTAAGGGCCAAGAATGCATAGCTAATGATTAAAACATTACATGATTACAATAAAACTAAAACCTAAAAGCCAAGGAAACTTTCTATTGTATTCATTATACCTTGAGATTTCTGACTTGGTGAGGACAACCAGCAGGAATCAAAACTGCATCTCCCAGTTTCTGAATAAATGTCCATGGTTCAATTCCTACAAAAGAATATTCAAAAACAAAAAATGAAAGCATCAATATGTGATGAAAGACTAAAGACAATAATGGACTACAAAAGAGACAATGTGTAGATTTCTAGAATAAGGAATGCTTAGAATAGCTTGATTTGTTTGAATGAAATGGAAAAACACTTGTTGGCACCACACAAGAAGGAAATTGTCGCCACTTTGAGCCACCATTTTGATACTCTTCACCTTATAAGGTATATTTTTAGCAAACAATTTCCATAGAGGCTCATTTGTTCTTTCTAGGATATATTCAAATTCGGTTTCTCTTCACTTGTAGTCATGAGGCTGCGATTCTCATTTTATGCACATGGCTTCCTGTGTAATTTCAAGCATTTGTCTTTGGTGTGACCAGATTGTTACCATGATCGCAAAACTTGCTCCCTAGTCATTTGCCCTTGTACTTATTAGTTTTAGGGCCACAAACCACAAGAGCAACAACATCAGTAGAGGTGGTGACTGGTGTGGACCTAAACAATAGTTTGGGAAACCCTCCTTCAACTTTCTTCAATTTAATCATGGAGAAAATTCATGAAGCAAAGGAGGGGTTAGAACACCTGTGATTCACCCCCTTAGTTTCTCAAAGGTTAGAATGAGACCCAAAGAACACTTTGAAATTTTTTTTCTTGTCAACTAAATTGTGCTAGTTCTTGACATCTTCAACACAAGACAATACATGAGTTTCATATAGATCTTGTTGTTAACAATAACAAGAAAGAACGCTGCTAGAGTCTATGACATTGGGATTGCCTCATTTGAAGTCATAGACAAATCCTAAATTAAAGAATACTACCATTTTCCTCAAGCAAGGACTCATGAACATTGTCCCCATTCTCCTTGGCAATTGTGCATGCAACATAATTTTTCCTCACCATCAAAGTCAAAGTTGACAAGCCAGGAAGTTAACATATTATCTTCCAAAGCCATTGTTTATAACTTGAGTCTGAAACCGGTAGTGGGGCAAATTCACCAATGAAAAAAATCTTCTTTGCCTTCCCCCTTCATCAGCATGAGAGCACTTTGAAACCACTCTAAGTAATTATGTCTGGTAATCATGATCACAGCGAGCTCATGGACAAATTTAAAAGAAACTGAGATGCTTTTGGTTAGGCTGCCGGATAGCTTTGGGTTCCCAAGGTTCAATTCCTCAAAGCCTAGCCAGTCCTTCAAACCTAAGCTCTCATGAAATTTGATCATGTTGGATTAAACTTTCAGATCTCTAATACCACAAAGATGGATGATTGGATTAGATTTAGGTTCTTTTCCCCACCGGGGGGTGGGTGGCACAGATCAGCAGACTAAATAATGAAATTCTATTTATTTCATTTGAATAATCTACATATTACAGTGAGTGTGTCCTTAGTTATATTTACAGGTCAGAAATTAAAAAAGTATGGAAGAACAAGGAAACAAATTACAATAGTAACTAGGAATCAGTAATGATAGGCCTAAGACAAAGGGAGTAGATGTCAGAGAGTTGACCCCCAAAATGAGGGGATGAGCTGTTCGGTATCTTTGCCAATCAAACCAGCAGCACTTGTCATGAAAACAAGATATGTTCTTGGCAGTTTTAAGATGTTCAGTTACAATATTTGAATTTAATTAAGCCAAGGCAGTGTTGCCATTATGTTAAATGCCCATAAACAAAAATAAATTGCATTACTGGGGATTTACTATAGCAGTAACAATTAAGACAGATATTATGTGATGATTAAAAGAACAAGAATAACTGACCATATTCCTCCTTCAGTTTCCTCTTATGATCCATAGTCAAATAAAAGGTCTGATCATGGATAGGATGAACAACCTATTAAAACAAAGCAAATCCTTTTACAAAGAAGCAAATAACCATAAAGATATTCACCAAAAAGAAAAAACCATAAAGATTTTCAGTGATAAGCATGAAATAACAATAGACACCTATATCAATGATCAATAATGCGATAATTGCAAAATTCACTTCTTTATTTGCCCATGCAAGGATAGTAAGTACAACAATCAATAATGCATGTCTCAAAGGGAGATACAGGATCTATGTGAACTAATCATGGAGGGATGGGTTATTTCTATCTATTATACCCCCTCTGACACCATTAAAAGGCTGACAGCTTAGCCAGAAATGCCCATATGCTTGATTCTGTTTTTTTTGTTCCCCTAGGCTTGTTCAGAGTTCTATCGAAATTTATGAGTTGGAGAGAGCTGATCAGGCTCTTTGTAACGTGGCTTTTTTTTTTTTTTTTGAATTAACGGGGCAAACACTAATGGCTTGAGAATACAAGTGTGATCAAACCCACAACTAACAACTCATAAGAGAGCTTTCATGCCACTAGCCTGCAAGACTATTGGCATGCCTTTTGTTTTCAACACAAATAAATGAAATTTACAACTTGCTAAGCCAGGCTTATCATGTGTCCCCTCACAATCATAAATTAGGTCAAGTTCAAGGACAGTACAACTTATACAAACTCAACCAACCAGCTACCACATTTATTTGAACCTACTTCCAACTACACAGATTATACAAACAATTTTCTTTCCACCAACCAAAAAAAAACCAACCCCATTAAGTCCTTCCAGACCATATATACAATATTTGATCATTGTTTATTTTCCATTCAAAATTCAAGAACAGCAAAGGATGTATTCAGTATTCACAACTACAACTCTGAGATATTCAAACATCCCTCTTACCCATTGAAATTTTGGTTCTTATCCCCGCCCAAAAAGAAAATATTGCATACTTGCTAAAATATAGATGTTTTTCTTCCCACCACAACATTTTACTTTTATATAAAAAAGCAATCATTAGCAAGGAATCAAGCATAACTGTTATTGCTGACCTCAAGTGAACACAGCATTTTGACCACTTACAAGAAAAAGCCATCTTTTATTCAAGCTTACCTGATGCAAAGGAATACAGTTGACATGCCTGAATTCTCTGAAGTGCTTCTTAAGGTATTCCTGCAGTTTAGGCACATCCTGTCTCCTAAAAATATCCCAGAGAGCACCTCCCTCAACAGAATCATATCCAAGCAAGGTATTTTCGAGATCTGTAATCTTTCCATTTTCAGCATTAGCTTCTTCCCCCTGACCATCGTGATACAGCTCCTTTCTGTCCTGTTCAAGGTGCTTTCCTTTTAAATACTTTATTTGTGCAAGAAGATCAGCATCAAGGGGCGTTTCAAAAGTATGTGTCAGAACATTTACCTAAAAAATAAAATAAAAAAGTTAATAAACACAGTATTCATAATGCGTCAAAACATTTACCTTAAAAGAAAAAGGTTAATAAAGACAGTGTTCATATTCCTCATTTGCCAGCATGTAATTAAAAATAGGGATATAGCACAATCAAATGAACCAACAAAGTCACAATTCTATTAAATCTTTAACATAGTAATACGACAGCAACCTATGTTGCATTCACTAATATGATAAGGGAAAAAGAACAGTCTAGCATCCACAATTTTAGGTTCATCTATGATGATAGTTATTATCAGAAAACAAAAAGATCTCCAAGGCACCAAAACCAGAAAAATAAGGGATTTCAATGGATCAAAACTCTCAAATCTCCATAAAACAAAGGGAAAACTAGGCATATAAAAATGCATTCATTATGTATAATATGCACTTTACTGCACAAAATAGTAACGACCATTCAAATCACATTAGCATTACACAGCTGTCAGGAAGGGCAACAGATTTCACGAATTCAATAACACAACAATTCAACTAGTTATGAAAAATTAATATAATTAAAACAGAAAACAGACCACACATCCAAAAATGAGCTAAAACAATGCTAACTATCCTAAGCATTTAGTCCCATTTAGCCAATCTTCAATGCACAATGAAACACATATTTTAGAACTACAAAGGAATCAACATTCCTCAATCTTATAATTTCTCATGCTTCATCAGTATTTGTCAACAACCACCCTATCTGAGGGAATAATATGATCAACCACTGCACTTGAAGCAAGCAAACTGCAAAATTCAATATGTGCTACTATGAAGTAGCTCTCCAGAGTAAGAATGACAAAGAGTTGATTGATAATCAAGTATAAACACCCTAAAATTAACTGTAAATTGGAGAGAACTAAAAAGTAACAGCTACAAAGAGCAAAGTTTCAGGCACGGGCTTCAAGCCACAACCTGACAAATAGGAAGAAAGGACTCTCAAAGCATTGCACTCGCTCACAAACCATCTGGATACCATTTCTAATGAAACCATTTGGAGAAATTTAAAGCGAACAGGTGTTAAGGAAACAGCTTACTGCATCAGACATATCACAATGAAGCTTTGTCACTGAATCTCCCCGCCCAAGCTCCATAGGAATTCCATATGCTATATATGTCTTTGGACCAATATCTGGCTTTATTACTCCATCTGGTAGCATTGAAGCAAGGTTTAAAACACCATTATAGGGATTTGTATATTCCTTGAATGGTAGGGAAGAAATGAACTCAGCACAATGACGTGGCAACCGTTCCTCAAATAATTTCGAAGGAGGCCAATCTTTCAGTTTCAATAACTGAGGCCCCATTTCAAAATCTTTTCGACCTTCAGAGTACCCAGTAAAGAATTGGTGGATATTGATGTCTCCCTACATTCAAAACCAGAAATTCAGTCAGAAGCCACTGGCAAACATGTTTTACATGTCAAGCTACATGCAATTAGATGAAGGAAATTACTTGAAAGCACTAGAAACTGACTGAAGCAAAATTAAAAACAGAGGATCACAAATATGCCAGGAAGGCATATCAAGAGTGAAAGCAAGCGAAGAGGCAACATGCAATAGACAAAAACAATGGAAATGACAGCAAAAGGCAAACAGCAGGAATACAAACATTGGTGAGCAATACACAGGAAAGTTCCTTCCAAAAAGAATAAGAAAAACAGAAAAGCAAAACCTTTGGAAGAGAATTGTCCAGCAAGCATCTAATTTCAGAGAAGAAATACCAAGTAAAATACGAATGGCAAAAGAATTACAAACAGCAAGTAAAACCAACCTCACACAAGTCCAAACAATCAATGACCTTCACTGCCAAATGTGTTTCTTGCTTTTTATTATTTATCTTACGGAAAGCACGCCACATAACCAGTGGTTCCCAGCTTAAACCAGATGTGCATTCAAGCACATTGCTGACAATCACTGGCTCTCCTTTACTCCAGTGCCACTGAAAATGCTTCACATCCTTAAGTCCTAAATCTATGGCCCTTGGACAGTATATATAGTTGTCAGTGTCACTAGGATCTTCGCGAGAAGCAGCCTTTATCCTGTTCTCATTTCCAACATTATTGTTGTTACCATCTAGTTCAAAGCATGAACCACACTGGTTACTTGTCTGTCTTGCATCATCAAGATTATATGCTTTAGCCATATTTTCTGCTTTCTTTACAAGTTCAGAAATCCAGTCATCAGGAAATATACATCGAAGTTCAAGATAACTATGACCACAACCACCATCAACCCTTGGACAAGGGATGCTACCATCACTTGTCACCTTCAAACTAGATCTTGACCAGTCACGATCATCATTTTTTGACTCAACATTTATTTTTTTTGACGTTGACTCCTCTCCACCATGCATATACTTCAGCCCCCGACTGATAAATTCAAACTCAACTGGCTCTGCACCCCCAACCAATTTTCCTTGGCGAATCTCACGGCAACAGACTAGACAGAGGTCAAAAAAACATTCTTGACAGCTTCGGTGATAATCAAAAATTGAAGTTTTACAATTGTCACTGCACAAAAACTTAATAATCAAATAATTAAGCAACTATCAACTAATAACCAAATATGACATTCACAACTGAAAAATAACCCAGGAGGGGGAGTCTAACCAGTAAATACGCTCTTCATGGGAGCAGTCTGCCTGCCCTACCTGGAGCTCTGAAAGTGAGATGCCTGCATTGCACATAAAGAAAAGGATTGAAGAATAAAAATGATGTCAGATCAGCACTAAGGCCAAATGAGAAATATCAGATTTGCCGTGACATTCAGAACCTATCAATAAAAATACATAGCTAGAGAAAATTACGGCTTAATTCAGAAATAAAAAAGGTCAGTGACCCAAGGGGTAACCAGTACAAAATATGTATATATTTTGTTGCCAAATCTAGACCGACAACCATCAACAATTTAAGGACCAAGTAAAGAGACAGCTTTATCTGCGACCAAGTAAAGAGACAGCTTTATTGCACTAGTCAGCCCCTTTAGTTCCCAAGATTTTACTGATACTTATGATTCACTAGAGCATCTTATTGTAGTTCCCAAATTTTATAGAATAGAGATCCAGAGCTAAGACGTTTTCCAACAAGCACAAACAAGAGGTCTCTCTTCCTCATGAGCCAATTTGGGGCTCGTCCAATGCTCAGTTCTAATGTGTGGATAGAAATACATGTCGCCAGTTGGATGGCCCCATAAAGCAGTTTATCCTGACAATTCTTTAATGTATTAATCCGATTCAGAAACTTAGACCCACTTATTTATCCATTGTCCAGCAGTAAGTTATTTGTGGAGCCAACACGTTATTCCTGCCAAGAAATCAGCATGTCCCGCAACTTTGGAAATTCTTTTAAAAGGCTTTAGTAACAAGAAAGAAAGGAAGCAACAAAATGCACTTTATTGTATTATGACGTTTGCAGCTCAATAAAATTCTATGCAAGTCTTCCCTTTGGCACTCTGCATAAAAGTTCTTTAAGGAAATCACTACCATCCAATTGCAGACACAAATCATACTTAATTTTCATGAACTACGCACATTAGAAAGAGGAATAGCATTGTTATCAACTAGTAATCTTGATTAAGATAGTTCATGAGAAGACACCTTGTCTCTTAGCTTCAGTCTCCTTCTCGATCATTTGTTCTTCATGTAGCTGCCTTAAGTATGGAAGAAGCACCGTTAGCAAATGCTTACGGTCTTCCTCATTTAAGTCGATCTTCTTTTCGGTCCTTCATCATCCATAGAAAATTGAATTCGTTTAGATTTTAAATGCAGAATAAATAAAAAAAAAATCATCACAAGGTGCAATTTAGAAGTCGAGGACTGACTTCAATTAATTTATCAGAGCTCAGACATGCTTTGCAATTGCAGTTTCCACGGCACACAGGACACTTCTCAGCAATATCTTCCTTTCTCAATTGAGGATACCTTGACAATACAACATAGACATGAAGGACCAAAATCAACCATTAATGCCAAGGTAAATGGTCAAAACTCACCAGTAACTTCAATTTTTTATTTCGATCTTATCCAAGCATAAGGTATGACCTTTACAAAGTTCCAACTAAGTAGTAACCCTGAATCTTGGTGCCTAGTAACCCTGAATCTTGGTGCATATTAACTAAGCCAAATCATGTTATTTAAGAAGCAGCTCATACAACTCCGTGCAACAGAACAATTGTTTGTACATTCATATTCTATATCATACAGCGCATATGCTTTCACGCTATGATGCCAAAAATCTAGTTTAATAATGGACTCTGACCTGTATGAGTAGGCATATAAATATGAACAGTATACATCTTGCTCAACAAAATAAGTGCAACAAATGGAACAAAAATAAGCAAAATGAAGTAGAAGGAAGGTAAGTCATACCAACTCTTTAAACACGGGATGCAAAACCTTTTCCGCTTACATTCTGTACACCTAACAACCTCCCCCTTATCATTTCTCTGACACTGATGGCACATTAAGCACTCCTTTTCAATCCACTGTTAAGTAGGAAATAGAAATTATAACCACGACTTGCAAGCTCTATATAATGCACATCTCAAGCACAGCAAACCATAGAGAAGGAAATTTCTTACGTCAGGATCGCGCCTTTTGACTTTGGGCATCCCCTGCTTATTAACTTCAGATTTTGAAGCCCTGCGACTATAACCTTTATATGATCTGCTTTCTGAAGAATCTCTAGCCGTTTGCATTCGACCATGAGCCTCCGATACTTCATGGTTTGCCTTCGCATCATGAGCCGCCTTCCCACGCCTTGAAATTTTCTTATCACCACTTTCCAGTTCTTCGAAACCGCAGTCCTTCACAACACCCCCAGGATCACTCTGCTTCAAATGTCCTAACTCCTCCCCATCTAAATCACCATTGTCCTCGGCTCCTACACCTTTTTCAACCACTGACGTTTTATTTGCCGCAACTTTCGTCCTTTTACGACCTCTCCCAGGTTTCCTTTTTTGACGTCCTTCTTCCTCTTCTTCGTCATCAAAGAAAGCATAACAGAACGATTGCCGCGACACTCTAGCACTTCGCCTCGTCGCCTCGGGCAAGACCACGTTCCCTGAGGCATCCGTCTCTAGCTTACGCTTTCTGCCGCGGCCTTTCTTGACAACTTCGTGCCTTCCGTTAGTGGGTCGATTTTCGCTGGTTCGGTGTCAAGATCGAGACTTTCTCGTTTTTCACCTGTAAGAACTCCACCACCGCCACCGCGCCTTCCGCCGACGGCTGATTCTTGAAACGTTCCTCCTGTCCTATTCCCTCTTGTTCATCACCGTCACCGTCTTGCTTCTCAGACTGGTGATACTGCGGCAGCAGAGGTGCGTCGTCATTCTGCAGCCGCTTGCTTCCGTGAGCCATGGAAACTTGGGTTTCAAAGTCACAAAGAACAGAATCAATTTACAAAACCCAAAGCTGCAGAAGAGGGTACAATCGAGTGGAAACTGGAAAGCACATTAGGCAGTAGGGGTTTGTGTCGCTTATATATAGGGGAGAAACTGACGACAGAGAAAGAAAACAATGGGTAATAATGGTGGATTTTCAAATCTGGCGCCAAGGTAAATAAAATATTATCGGTCACGGGGAAGTTTTCGAAAGATTATAGGAATGAAGGAGAGTTTTTGCGCGGCATCTACAATCTACTAATCAAAAGTGGCAAAAAAATGTGCCTTTGATGGCAGGTTTTGGTCACAGATGTTGTTCTTACGTGGGATGTCTGACCCGGTGTGAAGTATTCATCCATGCTTAGTATAAAGCTAATTAGGATAAAAACTAATTAGGAAGTTAATATTAATGTTGTATAGAAAACTTATTTCACATGTCTGTAAATTTTTTAAAATTAATCTTATTGAAATTTTTAAATAATAATTAAAGTTTAGAAAAAAATATATCATAAAAAAATCATATAACTAATTTAACTAACATCTTAATCTATTTAAATTAGTTAATAAGCAGTAATTTTTTGAAAATTCAGATAATCTTTCAACGATAATGACGTGAAGAGATAAAGTCAGATTTTTTGGGCCAGGAAGTAAGGAATGATTTTAATTGCCATTATCCCTTAAACATGTTTTGAAATTATTTTAATCGACTAAGTTCAGTGCAGAGTATAAATTCCATGTAATAGCTCAAATTATTAGAATTATCCGTACTTGCACGTCTAAAGGAGTACACTGGAACTGGCCGGGGAAAAAAAAAACGGAGTACACTGGAAGATTAAAGCTTTTTACGTTTTTTTTTTCTGTTTCTGGGGTGATAAAAGAGAGTAGTACGTAACTACCTGGGAAGGGGAAGGCCACAGGGTCATTAATAAATCGAACGTGACCGTCTCCACTGGATATTGGCAACAGAGAGTCATGAAAGCCACCAGACTGCTGCTCCGTTCTTCGCCAGGCTTCATGCGACCGCCGCCTTTGCTTCCGTCATTCCCACAGTCAGCCCCTTTTTCCCATCTCGGACCACAGACCCTTTTCGCAGTTAAAATTGTTGAGGTCGACGTGTAAAGTTCAGGCCAAAAAGAATGTGTGAAAAATATATTCTATTTTCAAAACCACTCTGGATTTGCGAAATGTGAAGAGACGGGTAGGAGAAAGAGAGATCTAAAAAAGTGTTTAGATAGAATTAAAACTATAATTTTTAAAAATATTTTTACAGTATACAAAGTAAATATGTAAAAAAAAAATTTGATTTATAAAAAAGCGCTTTTGAAAAGCACTTTTTATAGTGCCCAAACATTCTTTAAGTAGAAGAAGGAATAATACAATGATATAGCGTATAATTAACAGTGGCAAAAATGTAAAAAAAAAAAAAACAATTATGATTTCGGATATTGTTTTAAGTGTATCTTGTAAACACCCTTCTATGATTGTCAAATGAATTTCCATATCCTGTAAATAAATTTGTATGGTGATTCCATCGTCTTATTTTCTTAAACGACGTGTCTCAAAACATAAATGATGTGCATGCTCATAAATTTCTAGTCTACTGCGAAGTAATGAGAGGAAAAAATCATATGGATTAAAAGATTCACAATCTGAAATATTTATGCTTGGTTTGTAAAAAAATTTGCAGTTATTTCAGAATCACATTTGGTGATGGGGCTTCAAAAGAGTTTTCAGCGATAACTCGTTTAAAAACCGATACTAAATCTTACAGAAAATGATAATAAATCGATCATTAAAAATAAATATCCTTTTTAAGATTTCCCGCAGATGTGAGCCAGTCAGCCAGGATGCGCAATCTATATGAAAGACGATGATCGGGAAAGTGACCTGACCTGATGAAGCGAAAAAAAGTGGAAAGGAAAAATATCTGAGACAAAAATATCTAGCAGTATGATATTGTAGTAACTAACTACATCGTATAAGACCCACAAGAGCTCCTTGATACCTTATCTTTATCTGCAAAATGCATTGTACTGCATCTGCACGTCTTCTTCCGCTTCCCTCTCCCCTCTCTTCTCGCGTCACCAGAACGGAGTTAACAACCCCAAAGTCTTGCTCCAGAGGCTCAATTCTGACGTGCAGGGCAGTCCATTCGGCTTCTTCCATCACAGAGTTCGACCTCTATGATCTTCTGGGCATCGATAGCTGCTCCGATCAGTCCCAGATAAAGCTCGCTTACCGCTCCCTCCAGAAGCGGTGCCACCCTGACATTGCTGGCCCCGCTGGCCATCAAATGGCCATCATTCTGAATGAAGCCTACGCAGTGCTTTCTGACCCCAGTTCCCGTTTGGCCTACGACAAGGTTTGTGTCGTTCACATAGAATAACAAATAAACTAGATTAACTGACTCCTTCCCCTGTTCACTTCCACGCCGTAATAATCCCCGATCATAGAGTACATGTCGATATGTAACATAATCTTATCGAGGATTGGTGCTATAGAAGAGAGAAATAACAGTTTTTGGAAATTGAGAGACGAGATGACATATATTTGAACAAGGGTGTGTTCCAGTATTTGATCTTGAAGCGCATCTATCATCACATTTATAGTAAAATAAACTCTCTCAAGTTGTTCTAGTTCTTATGGCGCAGGAGCAGAAAAAGATCGAAGGGTTCAAGGGTTTCACAGGAAGGCCCGTGTACTCAGTTTGGTTCGGGTCGGAAAGCGAGCAGAGAGCAATATTCGTGGATGAAATAAAATGCGTTGGCTGCTTAAAATGTGCTTTGTTAGCAGAGAAGACGTTTGCGATTGAATCAGTTTATGGCAGAGCCAGGGTTGTGGGACAGTGGGCTGATTCTGAAGACAAAATCCAAGAGGCCATAGATTCCTGTCCTGTCAATTGCATTTCGTAAGTTATGTTACTATTCTGCACTTTTTTGTTTTTGTTTTTTTTTTTTTTGCGGGATAACTAAAATTCGGAGATCAGAATAAAAGTACAAATGCAAGGTGCATATATATATACTGCATTTGCCTGCCATGCACTTCATTTCTCTGAGATTTAATTGTCATCAATCTCTGGTGCTGTACAGCACTGTTGTTGCCTTGTATGGAGGTAAAGCCAAATTTAATGGCTTCAAGTTCCTCCTATGTCACTTCATTTTCCTGATTTAGTTCCTAAACGAGCTGCTTCAGTTGTTTAATTAGATCTTAAGAGGGAAGATGATCTTTCAAGTCAAAAGATAGGAAACAAAGGCCGTGAGAATATCACGTATTGTGCTAAGAAAGATAGGTTGTCGTACGTTGGCAATGTGGCTGGGCATTAAAAGGGTAAAAAATACAAGATTTTTTCTGAACCTGACAAAAGCTTTCGGTGCTTGCGTAAATATAGAGTTGTTGAAAGGTCCAACCTTGCAGCTCTGGAGTTCTTGATGTCCAAGCAGCCACGAGGCAATGTAAGAGTCGGCACAGGTAATACGGTCGGTGCTCGCGTCTCTAACATATTTACAGAAGTGCAGAAATTCCAAACCAGATTCCAGGAAGCAATGGAGAAGGCTTCCAACAAGTCTTCTAAGGTTAGTCTGTGTCGACAAGTAATGGTGGCTGCAATGAACTGGCTAATTAGTTCTCACGGATTAACCAGAAACCTCTTTATCAGCAGGTAATAGACCCTCAGAGAGAAGCAAGGATATCAGCAATTCAAGCAATCAGATCAATCTCTAACTGGTTATACTGGCGATCGCCTGTTGCAAGTGGGGCGTCATCAGGAGGACCCGACAAAAGCCTCACACGCGTTGCACGTAGATTACCTGAACCAAACATCGATAAGCTTCGAGACGCTGCTGCAAGGAAACAGCTCAGCGAGAGCAAAAGGACCAGGTGCCAGAGTTCTGATGAGGAGTATTGGGCTCCATCAGCTTATGCTCTTCCGTCCTCAACTGAGAATACCGCAACTCCAAGTTCAGCTGCAAAGCCCTCGTCATCTCCTCTCGAACAGAAAGAAGCAAATGAGAGGGAGTCTGAAATATATGAGAATCAAAATAACCCAATCAGATGGGCATTCCCAATGGTCACTGCCATGATCGCTGTAGCTACAGTTCGATTACATGGTGGGGGGTCAGTCCATGAATTGAATCAACATGCTGGAGGCTCTCTAGCTCTGGATATTGTTAACAGCCCTTGGTCGCAGGGTGTTCTTGCTGCAGCTACATGGTATATGATTGGATTGGCAGTAGTAGATCTTGTGGCTATTATCGGCAGAAAAAATAGATAGTGCCTCTATTAGATGCTTGTAAATTTAATGGCCAAGCTAGGCAAGTAGCCCATAGATACTTTGGAATGTATAAAGTAACATGAAACACAGATTGGGATATATAAAAAGTAAGTTTTTCATTAAAAATATAATGGTACACGGTTTCCGCCTCCCGCATTGTTAAGTGTTAAATCAAGACTCTATGGTGTTTTAAAGTACAGCCTTCTTTTATTGTCCATCTCTGCTGAGAAAAAGCCCCGGGGAAGAACGTATTGACATTGAGGAAATAGAAGTAATTAACTGGCCAATTCAATTCGTAGCAAAATGTTGTTGTAAGAACCATATTGCTAACCATGCTTCTGTTAAGAAAGCAAAAATTTAAAGTTTATTCCAGAGTTTTCTCTCCTTTCATAAAATACCCAAAACACTGTATGGTTCTGTGGAAAACAAATAATCGGATCGGGCACAATCTAGTCTAGAAGTTTCATCTTCAATATAATACAATATTGTTGCCCATACAAAGTCGGTGGAAGACAACCCATTACGAATTGTTCTTCTGGCATTAACATTTGGAAGAGAAAGATAGTCATACAAATACGAAAAGAGCACTTTCCACAATAGGTTTAGTAACGGTATTTGGTTGAGTAATCTTTGGGAGCAATCACCAAACCACGTCCCTTTCTTGCACCTCGGTACACTGTCTCAATAATGTCAATGAACTCCTGCTTGTCCTTAAGAGCCCAGTTAATCTTGTTGTTGTTTCCAGTGCCAAGATCTATCATAATGTGTTTGTTCCTAAAGAAAAACATAACCGTGGAGGGATCATACAGCTCATACATGGTGTTAAAATCAGGAACCTCAGTTATGTCCACGAGGTAAATTACAGCAAAATTCTTTATGGTCTCAGCAACTGATGCCAGCACTTCATCCATCTAAACTTGAAAGAAAAATATTACAACACCATGTTATAATTTAGATGGCAGCTTATGTTCATAAAAAGGAAATAGAAATCCATTGCACAATCAGATAATCTGCATAAATCAAATAGGCAAGGGTGGCATTGGAAAGAAGATATAAGATCGTTTAGAGCAGGGCGGGCAAAAAACAGCAAGACTCATGTGCAGGCATTAGCGCCCGAGGATTAGGATTAATATAAAATCTGGATTCCTGTGGCCATGAATGCTCGATAAAATAATCCCTCAATATAAGGAAAACTGTGATTACTAATATTGGTTTACACTATGCATGCGGTTATAAGTTTGACTGATGGTTAATCCTTCTGGAAATTACACGGTTAAATAACCATTTTTCTTTCTTAATCATAAACGAGGCTCTCAGGCAATGGGAAGCAGACAAAGTGGGGAGAGTAGTAGAAGGCGGACAAGCACCAAAGCCAGACATCACTTCCAGTATCAACTCACTTAAAATTAATGCTGATGCCAAGTGAGCAAATCACTCCTCCGGTCCTAAATATAAGGCCCTTTTGTAGTGTTTAGGACCGGAGGATTATTAACTATAGGCACCACAAAAATTTCAGTTAACCTAAATACCTCGAACAAAAAGTCGACAAATTTGCAAAAGTCAATACTATATGACGCTCAGGTCCCAAAAAAAAAAACACTATTTGAGGCGGCACTTTGCACGAATAATACATCCGGATAATGGCAAGGTTAAACAAAATGTTTTGATTTAACAAACAGGCTGAAATCCAGTTTAGTTTAGGGTTCCAATAGACGGAAATATAGAGCAAGTGAAAATCAAAGAAGAAAAGAAGAACCAGGCAAGGAAATACCTGCATGCAGGTCTCATCCCAATCATGGCCAAATCGGATGACGACAAGACGCTCCTCCTCAGCAAGGATGGCCTGATCTACAGCCCATCCTGAATGAAGGTGAGGCAGCAAGTACGACATGTCTCCCCGCGAGCTAAAACGAGAGAATTGCCTGAAATCTAATTAGGGCTAATTCAAAATCTGCAATCGGCGTCAGGTGACAATCCGAGTTTTGCTATTATGTCGACCCGACCCAACGGTTGAGTATTGCATCCATGAGGTCTCCTCGTTTGGTCTCTTTTTTAAGGTGAATACTAATTTTAAATAAATGAAATTTATTTTTTTATTTTATCACTAACAAGAAAAATTGGCACTTATAATTTCTATAAAAAAATTGGCACTTAAAATTAAAATATCTATTAACAATCAAATTAAAGAATCATATAATTTTGCTTTAAATAGTTACAGTTGAAAATTAAAAGATTAATATTAGCTCAAACGATAATTATAATAATTTGAGGCGTAGATCTTCATTTTCATCAGGATATTCGCCAAGATGGAGGTGCCTGAGATGAGCAAAAGACTATACGAAATTTGAGGATATACTAGACAGATTATGGCTGATCGCAGTTCTTCATTTTAGTTGCACTATTTTTCCTCCCAGCATTTTGCTTACGCACAAAAAATTACTTAAAATTTGGTAAAGAGAATCAATATGCCCACAAATACTAAAGTATAGTAATTTAACTAATATTGAATTTCTTTAAATAATGATCGCTAAGTTTTTTTTTTCCTTTTAATCTTTATTCACTTCTTTCAACTTCAAGCCAATATATCCCTGTCATAGTGTACATTATTAGTCTGTTAAATTCAACTTAGCGTATTGCATCATGTCCAATAAGTACAGATTTTTTTTTTTCCGGGGTAAATCTTGATCAGCTCCAATGGGCCTAGTATCAATGGTGGGGTGAGAAAATACATAAAATACAGAAAAAATATGTAATTCATATCTGGTTCAGCTCATACCCCGCAAGGCTGTAAAAACCCATACCAAGCTAAACTGACCGGTTTATTTTCCTGCCAATATGATAACATCGTTGGCTAAAATTGTCTTGACCCGCCCATCCAAACACAGGAATTTACCCAAAATTGGCGTCCGCACAAGAACACACGAATTTTGAGTCTTCTCATGGTAAATAGCTCTATTAAAAACATAAGACATGAACAATTTATTTAAACAACCACAGCTGTCATCCAAGTTTACAGGGTCTAGAGTTGTAACATAACATATGTTCAGGAAAACGTCCAAAAAGGAAATCTCTTCCACAGCAAACTTATTGGAGGAATTGAGCAAAGTGAACATTCGTATCACATACGCCCACCGCGGATCCTTCAGCTTGTCTCGTGCATGATCTCCGTGTCAACGCTTGCTGATAAATCAACAGATGCACGTTATTCATCATTTTGTACATTTATTTTAACACATGCCACTCACAAGAGTTCCATCAAGATTTTGGCACTGGCAGAAAATTTCTAGGGTCGTCAAAATAGTTGTATATAATTATATGAAATTGAAATGATGAGGTGCGTCCTTCAAGGTACTTCATCAAAAGAACAGGAAAAAAGAATCCTTTCCATTCCAGATCAAACTCACAAAGAAATTAAATCAGCAATATGATAGATAAGTTAGCACTAACAGAACATGGAAACCTCAGTAAAGTTATTGACATATGCTTAAGAGCCACATAACTAAATGGGATAAGTCCATTGCCCTAGAAGTTTTCACGGAGGATCTGAGTATCCGGAAGTGGGAGCAATGTTACTCCGTGAACACTTCCGGGACAAAAATAGACCTTATCCCTAACTAAGTTAAGACAACCTTCTGTCATGATAACGTCCCCAATTTATTCAATAGAAGCTATGCAAAGCAGTGGTTGACAACTAATGGCTCGTTCTAAATTTGCTGAGAAGTGAGATATATAAATCAAGTGAAGGTACCTAATTTTAATGTCCATGGCCATGATCATCATGACCCTCCCAAGGATGTCTCCAGCCCTGGATGGCACCAGAGAGAACAGGAGAATGTATCAGAAAAAGTAAAACTTAACCAAAATATGACTCGGCTAAATACAGGTAAACAAAATTAACTTTCAGAGTTTTACCAATACTACAGGGCCATCTTGCTTTGCTTATTTAACACATGCCACTCACAAGAGTTCCATCAAGATTTTGGCACTGGCAGAAAAAATTTCTAGGGTCGTCAAAATAGTTGTATATAATTTATATGAAATTGAAATGATGAGGTGCGTCCTTCAAGGTACTTCATCAAAAGAACAGGAAAAAAGAATCCTTTCCATTCCAGATCAAACTTACAAAGAAATTAAATCAGCAATATGATAGATAAGTTAGCACTAACAGAAACATGGAAACCTCAGTAAAGTTATTGACATATGCTTAAGAGCCACATAACTAAATGGGATAAGGTCCATTTGCCCTGGAAGTTTTCACGGAGGATCTGAGTATCCGGAAGTGGGAGCAATGTTACTCCGTGAACACTTCCGGGACAAAAATAGACCTTATCCCTAACTAAGTTAAGACAACCTTTTGTCATGATAACGTCCCCAGTTTATTCAATAGAAGCTATGCAAAGCAGTGGTTGACAACTAATGGCTCGTTCTAAATTTGCTGAGAAGTGAGATCATATAAATCAAGTGAAGGTACCTAATTTTAATGTCCATGGCCATGATCATCATGACCCTCCCAAGGATGTCTCCAGCCCTGGATGGCACCAGAGAGAACAGGAGAATGTATCAGAAAAAGTAAAACTTAACCAAAATATGACTCGGCTAAATACAGGTAAACAAAATTAACTTTCAGAGTTTTACCAATACTACAGGGCCATCTTGCTTTGCCCTGTACAATACCCAGAACCTGAAAAATAAATTTTGAAACGCGCGGTAAGTTCCTAAGCAGTCAGAATCGATTCAGTCAAATTACATTACGGCGCTCTCAAGAATGATTTGGAAAAATGAAAACAGTCTCACAAAGTTTAATTTCAATAACGATTAACCATGTAACTTGGATACCAAACATGCCTAAATCCTCACCAATAACAAATTCCATGAATTAAACAGGAACAAAAAATACTCGTTTCCTCGGTCATTACGAGGGCAATCCGCCAAATATTTAGATCCCTCATCAACAAGAGATCCACGATGTAGCCAAAAATCAAATGAACAGAACATTTAATTTTGCTGAAAAGAATAGATCTGCTGAATGAAAACAGCGCGCCAGATGAGATGGAGAAATGAGGGTTATCGCATACCACATAACAGCGCAAAGCCCCTTGCCAGTGACGGTATGCCAACGCTTCGGAGCATGCACTGTCATACCTTTGTAGGTTGTGCCCTCACCATGGCCTCCCCCCATCTCTGTCGCGACGCACTGCGAGTTTCGAACGCAACAAGCCCTAAAGGGTATAACGATTAGGAACGCGACCGCTGTCAAGAACAAGCGAATTTTGTGGTGTATGAAAAAAACTCAAGAGGGTGGAGAATTTCATAAAAGATACATCGAAGTGATTTTATTTCTATCAATCCTTCAAAACAAAATCTGAAATTTAAAACTAAAATAAAATTATGTTTTTATAGTAAATAATCAAAATGGCCTTCATTCTCAAGGAAAACGTGATTTTGACACAGAGGACATCATCAATTTTCTGATAGAGGTTAATGTCGTCTTTAATTCTTTTTTTTTTTGACCAAAGATGTCGTCTTTAATTCTTAAAATTTGATATCTTTTAATTTTAGTCATTTAAATTTAAACCAGTAATTTTGGTCATGAAATTTGATTTTATTTTAATCTTTCTAAACATTTTTTTTTCTGAAAACAATACTCCTTATATCCTAAATATAAAACTCATTTTGTAATGTAAAATTAAAATGGGTTTTATATTTATGATCAGAATACTACTGCAATAAACGGAACCAAATTAATGGTTTTCAAATTTTATGGGTCGGAACAAAATTGCATAGGATTGCCTCTAATAATTAAACACGTATCACAAAAATTCTATTGAGAATTGAACCAGATGGTTGAACAAGAACGTAATTTTTGTCATCCAAGAACAAAATGATACTAGTATTAAGGGAGATGAGAGTTTACGAGATGTAATTTACAACGGCAAATGAAATAGAGCAATTATGGAATTCAATAAAGTTATCAAACTCGGAAGGTGAAGCATCCCTAAAGTAGTAGTTAAACATTTTACCCTTGATATAAGAACTAGATGATTAATTTACAACTTCTTGTGATCAATAGGAATATTTTTTAAAAAAAATATAAATTTAGTAGATAAATGGAGTGAAGTCTTGTATTTATGACCAAATCTAACTCCCTGAATAAACTCTTATACTAACTTTGGTTTTTAATCAAGAACTGGCTAATTAATTTGAGTCCATTAAAAGAAAGGAAAAATGACACTAAGGTCCCATGCAAACAAAAATACTACAAAAAAGTCCCAGGGAATTTGGTAATGATTCTGAAGTCCCAAGGGACTTGAGTGCAATTTGGTGAATTGTAAAATGACGCCTCTGCCCTTGGTGAGATGCATTTAAACTAATTCAAAGCTGTCCTGTTTTTCAGTTGAAAATCAGCACTCTATACGCAAGAAGAAAAGAGAAAAAAAACCCAAATTTCATTCTGCTTCTTCCCCTATTCCCATCTGAAAATCTCATCCACTCTATTAATGTCAATCATTGGCAAAAATCGCTTGTGTTTGTGGTTTGGTGTGTGTTTGGTCATTCAAGTTGGGGTTTTATTATAGGTGGGTAGGGTGATTATGGGTGTTCTGTTTCTGGGATATTGTGGGTGGATTGAAGTGGGCTTGCTCTGTCTGGGCATGGTTCAGGGGGAATTGATGAGAAAGATGAAGGTTGGTGTGATTAGAAACCCTTACTGCGAAATAGGAAAATATGTTGTCAATAGGGCCGCGACAGTTGTCAATATAGCTCCTTGACTTGTCAATAGTAACAGCATTGTACAGATTTACATTAACTGATTTTTTAAATTTTTTACACAAAGGCCATGACCTTCTGTACCCTTGACTCATTGGTAGAGGTCACAAAAAGAGGAAGAAGAGGCAACAAAGAAGGGTGAGTAGTTACATGAGGCAAAAAGGAAAAAAAAAAAAAGCCACTTTGATCCTAGACAAATGATGGCAAAAGAATTTTTTCGTAAATAGAAGTGACATAAATTTTTTTTGTAGATGTCACAACACACACAAATAATTAGTTTAATACTACTGATACATGCAACTATGTTTTTTTTTAATGGGGTTATAAAATCGTGTAATTACATGTATATGAAGTTGTAAATGAAAGTTACTGTGTATTACATTCTGATACATAGTTAGTTGTCATTATCCGCACCCTTCATTGTCAATATATGTTTCGTCACTTGTCACTCACTGCACCATCAGTTGTCAATTAAATGTGCTGATATAAATTTAAAAAAAATGATTTTCATTACATAATGTTATACAACATCATACAATATCACTAATTCCTCAAAACTAATCTATTTTTTATAATGTGATATAGAATAGTTATTAAAAGTCAATCATCACTGATATGAAGTCATAAAATCACTTGTCATGAACAACATATTCACTTGTTAATGGTTTTGCTCTGTTCTGATGTTAGTTTAGTAGCAAAGGAAGAAAAAGATGAAGTTAGTGTGGGTAGAAACTCTTAGCACGAAATGGGATATTGTGTTGTCAATCAGGCCGCGATAGTTGTCAATGTGTGCCACGACAGTTGTCAACGTAGCTCCTTGACTTGTCAATGACAGTTGCGTGATTCTTGATGCAGGTTTAAATTACTGATGGCGAGATACATCTGGAAAGCATCTATTTTGCTTTGTTCACATAGAGAGAAAGTTTATAAATGATAGAGAAGATGATATGAGATATGTGGGAGGTAGTGTAAGAACAACAATATAAAGGAGGGCACAAGTTATGAAGAATTGAAGGAAATTATATCATCAATTGCTGAAAAAAAAGTAACTCATTTCTTTTGAAATTCTCAGTTGTGTATAGCTCAACAGCATCCAGCGCGTAGAAATTAACAACCTGAGTTATCCAAATAACAAGTAATATAACAAGAGTTAATAACAAGTGATATAACAATTTCATAACAAATGAATGTGGATATTAATAATTAATATTCAAAATTTTTACAACTGAAGGTGTCATTTATTTATAATGTTAAGTGATATTTGCATTAAAATATAATTATTAAGAAGGTGTTACTCAAATTTATGTTCAATTGATAAGAGACAGTGCCTTCATTAAAAGTCACAATACTCTATTGGCAAGTCACAGTGTAGTGCCACCATTGACAAGTCATAGTGCCACCATTGACAAGTTAGTGTGCCACCATGACAACTGATAACTGCTGCGCGTCTGACCATATCTGTCGTGGCACCCCCATCTGTCCCAAGGAGTTGCCATTCTGTGTAAGGCACCACGGGTGCCTAATCATATCCGCCGCAGTGCCCAAACCTTTCAAGAAGTTATTCGGTGAACAACAAGTCACAGTGCTACCATTGACAAGTCAGTGTGCCATTATTGATAAGTCATAGTGCCACCATTGATAAATCATAGTGCTTCCATTGACAAGTCATAGTGCCACCATTGACACTTCATTATAATAATTATATATGACAATATAACCAAAATATAATATGACAGAGTAATTGAAAATATCATATGATACTAAAACAGGTTATGTAACTTGAATTCATATTGTTGACAACTTACATCAGCAAATTAATTGACAAGTCACAATGCTCCATTGACAAGTTATAACAAGTCTAATAACAATGCAGGGTGCGGATAATGACAACTGAAATGACAGCAGAATCTAACATGCCAAGTTACACTGAAACCATTAACAAGTGAATATGTTGTTATGACAAGTGATTTTATGACTTCATATCAGTGATGATTGACTTTTAATAACTATTCTATATATATATAAAAAATAGATTAGTTTTGAGGAATTAGTGATATTGTATGATGTTGTATAACATTATGTAATGAAAATCATTTTTTTTAAATTTATATCAGCACATTAATTGACAACTGATGGTGCAGTGAGTGACAAGTGACGAAACATATATTGACAATGAAGGGTGCGGATAATGACAACTAACTATGTATCAGAATGTAATACACAGTTAACTTTCATTTACAACTTCATATACATGTAATACACCGATTTTATAACCCCATTAAAAAAAAAATATAGTTGCATGTATTCAGTATTAAACTAATTATTTGTGTGTGTTGTGACATCTACAAAAAAAAATTTATGTCACTTCTATTTATGAAAAAATTCTTTGCCATCATTTGTCTAGGATCAAAGTGGCTTTTTTTTTTTTTTCTTTTGCCTCATGTAACTACTCACCCTTCTTTGTTGCCTCTTCTTCCTCTTTTTGTGACCTCTACCAATGAGTCCAGGGTACAGAAGGTCATGACCTTTGTGTAAAAAATTTAAAAAATCAGTTAATGTAAATCTGTACAATGCTGTTACTATTGACAAGTCAAGGAGTTATATTGACAACTGTCGCGGCCCTATTGACAACATATTTTCCTATTGCGCAGTAAGGGTTTCTAATCACACCAACCTTCATCTTCTCATCAATTCTCCCTGAACCATGCCCAGACAGAGCAAATATACCCAGAAACAGAACACCCATAATCACCCTACCCACGTATAATAAAACCCCAACTTGAATGACCAAACACACCAAACCAAAAACACAAACGATTTTGCCAGTGTTGACATTAATAGAGTGGATGAGATTTTCAGATGGGAATGGGGAAAGAAGCAGAATGAAGTTTGGGTTTTTTCTTTTTGCTTATTGCGTATAGAGTGCTGATTTTCAGATTGAAAAATAAAGCAGCTTTTAGTTAGTTTAGATGCATTCACCAGGGGCAGAGGTATCTTTTACAATTCACCAAATTGCACTCAAGTCCCTTTGGGACTTCAGAATCATTACCAAATTTCCTGAGACCTTTTTGTAGTATTTTGTATTGCAGGGGACCTTAATGTCATTTTTCCTTAAAGAAATTAGCTGGGTTAATTATTTGTAATAAATGAATATTGTTTTTCTTAGAATATTATTACTAATCAATAGTAGTTGTTAGAATTACTATTATTACAGTAATTATCTTTAAAAAAAAAGATAAATATGAGAGACAAAATGGATTTGCTGCATATATTTATGATCAAAATAAAATCAAACAAACTTTTATACTCTTCCAGTCCTAAATATAAGACTATTATACATATTAGTATAAGAGTCTTATATTTAAGACCGGATGAGTATTAAGGATTGAAAGGATCCCTAAGAGCGGGTGGGATGAATGAATTGATAGTCGATGCGAAAAATAACCAGGACACCTCTATTAATGCCAACGGAAGACTCTGTTTACGTAACCAGCAAAGTGCAGAAGGAA